AACGGTCCTCCATTAACTGGAACACGTCTATTGTAGTTAAAGTTTGCCACCAACCGATATATTGTCAACCGTAACCACGGTCCGAGTTTCAACTACGGCTCGCGTCAGATCTGTTTCATATTTCATGGGATTTGGTCAATTTTTGCCAAGCTTGGATTTTTGAGATAATTTAGCTGTGGGTAGAAGTACGAACTCAACATAAACCATGTCTGTAAAACAGTTGAAATGGCTGTGCACAATAGTTTCATGCAAACGATGCCCAGCAGTTATGATGTGTACAAGGAGTCATGTCAAACTTTTTTTCTGTTTTTATGTTCCCCATAATCAGATATAGTAACATCAACCAGTACTTCTAAAACACGGCGTGTCCTAGAAATCTGGGGAGTTCCACAAATTCCTCTATAGAGGAATTCACACAAACAGTTAATTTGGGCACTCTGTTAAACCATGCTTCGGTTACGCACCAATATGGTTTTAACGAAGGACTTAAATCCCAACTGCACAACTCGTGTGTGGCATGCTTTAATAAATGGTTCGCACAAAGACAGTCTCATTTTTCAGTTGGCAAAGCATCGCAGATATATTGAAGATAGCTGGGAACTCTGACAAGCCACAGCCTGTTTAGCCCTTCTTGTGACAAATTTATTAGGCGCCGTCCCCTAGTTTCCGTCAATTTTATATTCTGCTTGAACCCAAATTACACAAAATTCTTAAAATACGCTCATTTGCCCACAACTATGGACTACGTTTACCTGGCGAACTCCAACAAGAGCGAAACTGTTTGTGGGCTGTCGAAGGACATTCATCAAGCTTAGGATTAGTGTTCCACAAAGAATACACCATACGCAGTTGACAGAAACGCTCAAACAAGTGTGTTCCACTCTTTGACCAAACAGGAATGTTTGCTGACCAACCGTATGTGTAATATGCGGCGTAATCAGATGGCAACAAAATACACCTTAAGTTCGTTATAACCTAAATATTAGTGAGGGTGTTGAAGGGAACCAACTCTTCAATTCGGACCATCAGTCAATCACCAGAAGACTGGCTTCCATTCTGTGGGGCATCAGTAATTTGTTTTCCTATCAGTTACCACTCTTTCTTAAGTGTAAGGACATTTGAGTCTGTTTTTCAACTGTTCTAACTTCATATAGACAAAAATGGGAACAGAAACAACTGTTTGCTGAAAGTTATGCTTAACAGCGTAGTCTACATAGGTATTGTTTGTTTTTCGTCCGTTTTCAAATATGCGTGTGACATCCCTTTGCAGAATTTCCGAATTAAGGAAAGTTCCACAATTTGCACAGGCTTTCTGAAATTGCCACTCAGAAGAAGCTAAATGATTTTCCATTACATGGACTGTGCGATGTAACAGAAAGCGGGGCGCTATCCTATCTTGGTGCAAGTCAGTTGCATTACTAATGAGGCAATGATATTTGAGTGCTAGAAATTTCAGAGTGACTTCTAGAAGGCCGCGAACTGGAATCCCCTTGAAGATTAAAAAACCACGCACTGCAAATGATATCCAACAAAACTGTAGGTAGTTCTCAGGCGTTTTAGCATAGATTGCCGACAGACCGCACGCCCTAAACCAATACATTGCGTTCTCTGTTTCATATTCGCAAGGACAAAATGAAGGAACATTTATTCCCAAAGTTTATCCTCGAAGGCCGCGGTCAGACAACCAACACCAGCTCAGCTGTTTTTTTCCTGATGAAAACCGTGCTATTCGACCAGTAGTTTCCACCATTTGACGTTCGCTACCGTTTACTAGTGACGTTTTCTTGATAATTCTGCCTAAAGTGCGGCAGTTCAATGTGATGATTTTTATAGTTGACGCCACCGTTCATGTGTGAGTTCCTCATTATCTTGGTGATAAGAAACCGTGGTATATTATCGTCTGGGTTACCGGTTTGCTTGAGCGGGTCACCTACCAATTTGGCTTTAAGTGTTCTTGAAGGCAGTATACTCTCCAGTAGTGCCAAACAAAGTAACGCGCTTCGTCAAAGGGTCACCTGGCAGCAACTAGCAGACATCGAGCTTTTCTGCAATTCCTGAAACCTTGAACTTGATCACACTGCGCAAATAACGTTGGTAAAGTTGTGGTTGGGTGGACGAAGGAAAATCTGACAGTGATATGGAGTGAACTAGTCGACGGAATCGCACAGAGCATACAGTCTAATTTATTTAAAGCTCACGATCTTTGGCATGAAAAGATCAGGATGGCGCTTCGCTGGAGAGACTCATCGTGATATCAAACCGGATATCGTTTCACCCACTTTGCGAACGCGTAAGTCACCTGCAAATGCATATCGGCGTTGGACGACCTGTGTGTATTTTTTTAGAGTTTATATTCTTGACACGTGTTATAATAATCTCAGCAGTTGACACAACATTACGTAAGAAATGACGTAAAATAAAACCAAGCGGATGAACCGGACTCCGTGGCGTTACCGCAGTGAACGTATGAGAATTCAAATGGGCATTGAAACACTAAAGACTGATTTTCAAGGAGAAAGTTGGAGCGACCTGTTTGTTCGAAAATGAATTTGGTTTTCGCTGAGCAGTTCTTTCGATGGTTCTGACTTGCCAAAGGATGAAACTGACTTGTTCTTTGTCAAAAGTAACAAATATTTTTGAGCTTTGTTAGTGGGATTTTAGGATTATGAAACAACATGTGTCCGGAACAGATCAGGGCAAATATCGGCTTGAAGCGGAAGGATTTATCTTCAGACCAAGTGCTCATAACCAAATGACGACACAACTAAAAGGAAAGCGAATCTTCATCTGACTTTTGCTTTCTTTTCCACATTGCTGTTTGCCCACAATGAATGTAGTGTACGTAAGTGGATCATGTGGTGCGAAGCGAGTAACTGAGAGACAGTGTTGTGCTATGTATATTCTCCATACAAGTTAGTCACTTTTGGTGACCTACAAACAAATGACTGTGAGATTTAAAACGCAACTAACGACGTATTCGAATCGCAACAATCATACAGATTCATGAAATGTGTACTAGTGTTTATTTACAGCAAGCATGGGGGATTTGCAATGGTGCTGAATTTTCCAGTTAATAACGAATTCGATAATAGAGTGAGGTACGGTGGTAATTTTCAAAGCATATTTCGTTCTGTAAGTAAAGTGACTCTTTTTTGACAAAATCGAGAAGCACTGTGAAGCTGATTCAACTTTTTTGGGAATCATCAGCTGTACGCATCTCACGAAACATCACGGATTTTGAACCCACGTCCTCTTGGAAGGTATTTCGAACACATCCATTTGCCCGCTAGTGGTTGCTCACTAGTGTTATTACCTCACACTTGAGATATGGCGCCATTGACTTACACGAATAAATCTCCATCGAAGATGTATCATATATATCTGCCGGAGATAGGAACACATGAATGACGCGCCAGACCTTGAAACGTGAAACACTGGATGCTTCTAATCACCGAACGTGAAACGGTCCCCTGTGTGTCGAAACTCCATTTCCACAGAAAGATGTGCGTATGGCAGAATTTGCGCTGCATTGTGTTTGTGTTGGGAGCTGCGTCAATAGAACTGATATCTAATCCACCAGAGAGCAACTGAGACTCCTTATTGGTTTTTTTCTGCATATAGTTGGGAACCTGAAAAATAAAATAAACTGTTTTAGGGACTAATACACGGTCTATGGAACAGGATGAGTGACGTTTATATGGTTGAATGGTTACAATAAATCAGCGTTGGAAATGGTGAGTGATAGTCAGCTTTTAATTAATTCTCTGTACTTCGGGAAATTACCATCACAAAAAGCCAGAATGATAATCAAGTACATGTAAATCCTCCTCAAATCCGAAAGCGACACCTTAGAGTTTTAGTTCTCTCGGCTTTCTGTCAGAACACACCTGCTGAGTCTCGTTTGTTTACATGGTCATCACGAAGGGGCCGAAACAGCTCTGCATAGTGCTCACAGATATCATGAATAAAACGCCCTCCATCCACTGCATTTTGATGTAGACTGACTAGGACCTTTCGAGCAGTCGTGTGCCACCGCAATCCACAAAATCAGGTGTTGCTTGGATTAGGGAATATGATGCTCGGAGGTCTAGCCGGTTACAACTTATTGCGTAGTTGTCAGCAAGGGAAGGCTAGAGGCCGAAACGGTTCAAGCAGTTCGTTAACCAGATCCAATGTAACTGTGTGAATACCGCCGTATTTGTGGGCCGGTGATTTGTCGCAATCTGTGCCCATCGCAAATGTTCCAAGTATTTTGCTAAAGGATATTTATTCGGGTGCTCCACTTTAGATTCGGACACGAACAAGCCCTCCGGTGAGCCCGTCTAAATAGAATCGATTTGTGAATCATACACCACTTCCATTTAGCCGATGATGTGGTGGTGATGATGATGATGATATGATAAATTTGAAAAGATCCATTAGGAAGCACGCTGATTAATTATTCAGTAGTATGTGTTTAAATTTGCTCAGCCTATATTAGCTCCATTTTCAAAAAAAATCAGTCAATTAAGAGCGTGTGATACCGAAATACTCAAGGATTTAGACTCGTGAGAATCCGTATTCAAGAAAAGCCCTGACCTAGTTTTCTGGTGTTAAGTGGTCTAACGAAAACGACCGCTAAATTCGATGTACTGGAATAGCTAGAACGTCCGAGCAATAGCTTTGTTCATGGCTGTGTGATACCCCTATGTTCCAATAGACCTGGTAAGATTTTGTTTACCTTAACTTTTGTTACATCGACATAGACGCTGCACACACACGGCGACTAATTCTGTTAAATAGACACGAATGTTTCCTTTAAAATCAGTGTCACAACGCCGTTTGCGAGTGACATTGGTTAGAACTATTAAACCCGTAAGAATTCAGCCATTGTTCATTCTAAAATGTGTGATGGGCCTAGGATTAGCTCACAGTGAATCAGCTGTGTACATCCATCCACGCAGTAAATTAACTCTTCATTCACGCTCATATTTTGGAGAACTGTTGTGTGACATCCCAAAATGGGTGGAAAACGGCTCGTGGATTTCGAATCCATTTTAGCAGACGTCTACGGTACAGGATTCTATCAAATCACTTTACTGATTGCGTGCTCAATGACATGCTTTATTGGTGGTTTGGAAATTCAGACGATTCTGTTTATGCACTATACACCCGCGTTCACTTGTCAAGAAGTACCAGCATCATTGCCACTTTCCGTGAACTGGGTGCCCCGGGAAACGTACGAAAAACTCGTTCAGCATCCGAACGATACGACATGGTTGGGACACGCATCTAACAGTACTGTTCAACAATGCTGGGCTGTACTCACACACCCATCATCCAATGAGGTAACACCGTTTTCCTGCTCAAACTGGACATATGATCAAACAATAATGTCCAATACAGTTGTAACACAGTTTAACCTTATATGTGATCGAAATTTTTGGGTTCCCTTAATGGAAGCCTCTTATCTGATATTCAATTCTGTTGGGTTCGTCGTCGCTTTTGTGAGTGATAAAATCGGAAGACGAATTCCACTACTTGGGTTTGCTGCGTGGGGGATAGTCATATGTCTTGCCACACCATTTGTACAATCCCTTCCAGTACTACTATTTTTGCGCTGCTGTCGTGGAATGTCTACTGCTCTTATGTACATTGGAATAAACTTACTTTCTGAACTGGTACCAGTCAGCTATCGGGCTGCCTACGGTAATGTGTACTGGACATCATGGCCCGTTGGTTATATGGTTTGTGCCGGTATAGCCTACTTGGTACGTGACTGGTTCACCCTGCGGCTATGGTCATGCGTATTTCTGTTGCCCTATCTCTGCTATCCCTTCATTGTTGTTGACTCACCGCGGTGGTTGTACGTCCGCGGACGAAAGAAGGAAGCCATAAAGATACTGCAAAAATTGGCCCGATGGAACCGGGTTTCGCTTCCAGCCGACTATTTCGATCGAATTGAAGACAGATTACCATCTGAGATCGTGAATTGTGGGGGAAACTCTTTGGTAAGTTACGATGCAATTTCAAGTAATGGGATTTCAATTGATCGATTAAAGGACAACGAGCAGGCCAACGATGAGAAAGAGGACAGTTTTATGGATATCTTTAGGTACCCGAACTTGCGGAATAATACACTGATTTTCTGTGTCGTACACATCGCTATTGCTGTTGTGTACTACGGCCTAATTATGGACAGTCTGTTCACCATTGACGACATTTTTATGAACATGGTTCTATCGGGTTTGGTGGAGCTACCTTCCAGTTTTTTGTCGTGGGCAGCATGCGCATATTTAGGACGAAGAAGCTCAACTGCCGCTCTTCTTCTCATTTCGGGTATTGGTGTCCTCGTTTCACGCATGGTAACCCCAAACGTTACTGTTCTGCGCACAACAACTGCGTTAATTGTGAAGTTCGCTCTTGGGATTGCATACTGCGTAGCTGATCTCTTCATTACAGAGCTCTATCCAACAACATTACGCAATATCGGATTCTTCACCGTGGTCACACTTGCAGGACTAGCGTCTGCGGTTGCTCCGTACATAAACTATCTCGGTCGCATAAACACGTACCTGCCCTATTTGATTTACGCGGGCCTGTCGATTGCTTCCGCAATCATGGTTCAATTCGGGCTTCCTGAAACACGTGGCTGTCCACTTCCACAAACCGTGAAGGAGTCACAGGGCTTCGTCCGGGGAAAGGAACGTGACTGGTGTGAGAAAAGAAAACGCATCTACGTAGATCCAGCCGTTGGAAACACTATTATACCCATCCCGGTCAATGAATGAATGGGTGAGCGGTACTCAAATACATTTTCAGTTGACAAATCGCTATCTTCGCACAGAGCAATGATTAACGGAGGTCATCTTTGTTAGAACTAGGTAAAAATCTCTTCCCAACCCAAAATTTTTTTTTCATTTTCCGATGTGACTTATGTTTTTGCATATTTTTGTGTGGAGCAGAGTGAATCTTACGGGTGATAATATATTCAGGTTAACATTTCCGGCCTACATTGATTACTTTTAGCCATCTGAAAAAAAACAGGATTACTTTTAAATAAGCGTTCTTGGATGGTCCCATGTGATAAGTTATCAAAATTTCGACTTACAAACAGCCTAGTTGTTATATCTGAATTTTCATGATCGCTATGTAGAATGCAACAAGAACCAACGAAGCCTCTGAAAGTCGGATTTAGATGTTTCGTGGGCGACATAGGATACGTTCTTAGCCCGGTTTGAGTTCTCTATGATCGAGACCATCGTGTGAAAACAGGGAACTCAAGCTATTTACGTAGTACAACCACTACCTGCTGTTTACATGCATTCTACTGTTTAACAGCTAGACCACTGTTTCAAATGCAACTATTCGTGGATGACATTGAACAACAAACTTATTTGAAGCAGCTAAGTTACCCCAAAGTAAACTTCTTTCTGTTCAACCACTCCAAATCCCGAGCTATTTACACGTCCGCTCCCGATAATCTTGATCAGCTGCAGCCGTAACCACTGTTACTCAGCATTCAGGAATCTGACCCTCAGAAGTGAGGACAAAAGAATGTGAAAGTATCGTCACGGAACCGGCTAGGAATGTTTTGCGGTAAAAGAAAAAGCGAAAATGGGTGAAGACCATTTCCATCCTTTACAAAGTAAAGGCGTTTTGACCTTCTGACTGCAAATTAGGTGGCATGACAGAGGTACTCGTCAGCGCTGTTCCATGTGGTTTTTTGGGCTAGGGTTGGTTGCGAGTGCACAAGCTTCTCAGATTTCTTGAAATATATTTTCAGTAAAGTAAGTTGTCTTAGATGCTTTTTAGGGTCACAGCAGTCTGGAAAGGTTTCTGGTTCTTACCGAAAAAAACTGAGGTAACATAGTACCACACATCCAGATACGTGGCCAAACTATAATCCCTTTGTTTGCAGACGGACGTGTATGATTTGTGGAATGTAAATGCATTTCTTCCCAAGCGGTCTTGGTATCCATCTGACTGGTGCGCTTGAAAATGACCAGTGGCGTGTGTTTGTAAAGAAGTTTAATAGCTACTTACTTCATTTGAATGGCATTGTCGGTCAAAGTTTGAAATACGACACAGAACGTAATAGGTAGGGAGGCCGATAAAAAGTTGAAAACAGCCTGAAATATTCTCGTTCTACCACTGGCTCCGCCGGATCGGACAACCCATTTTCTATAGCTTGCTGTCGCAGTTCAAGTCAAGAGCTTGTTGATAGTGTAATGATATTCTTAACCAATCTTCTGCCTACTCACTAGTAGTTAATCTGCATAAATGATCAGCTTCAGCAAACTGAGTTTCAGATGAGGTGAGGAGCTGTTGATAAGCAGTGTCGATATATTTGGTGCAGGCCATATACTAGATCTTGAAAGCTAACGCATAAAAGATAGATGTTATACACACATCTGAGCGACCCAAAATCCAATATAATTTCACTCTTCAGAACGTAAACCCTTAAGTATATTTCACTCGTTCCTGTTATTAAACTTACCACTTCACTTTACCATTGTAGAGAGATTCCGTAAAAATGCGAGTTAAAATCTTTAATAACCTGTCCATCCCATAAAATCCTAGATCAAAATTCATCCTTATTTGAACGGCAAGCAGGTTAAAATATACTTTCGCTTCTTCACCCAACAATAAATGATATTTGGGGTTAGAAAAACGTAGATTTCCAAACAACGAGCATTTGAACCAAAATATCTCTAGTGTCGAAATTTCTGTGGGAATACCCAAAAGTATCCAAGGACGGTCAATGAGTTCATTATAGGATGTTCTTTTGCAATTAGGCGTAGGAAATTATGGAATGAATGACCACAACCTCAGGCCCTTCCAGCAACCAAGCAGGACAAGGGGCTGTGCTGTTTTTAATTAGTAGAGTATGGCTAGACGGTAGAGTAGACAATGTATGTGCACGCGATGCTGCAACGGCTTTGCGAATTCGTCGTACAAGGAGTTTGTAGCACATTTCAAAGTGCTTCACATCATTTATCAAAATGCTTGCGAGAGTAGTGCAGGACGTCGTGGGTAAACTCACATCTGGAAACAAAAAAACGGCGAAAATACTCANTTTCGGAAAACGGTGCATTCAGAGGGGATGGAGACGGATGGTCTTAAATTTTGAAGTAACGAGTTTCAGGCTTACAAATTAGATTTGAGGTAGTCAAACATTGACGAACACAGGCTTTGTCCACATTAGGTTGTGGTATCTACATGTGACTGAATTATATTCATCTACTTGTTTGTTAATGACAGAAAAGACCGGGGTGTGAATTTTCCGCTATACTAACGTGCACCTGTCATATGCCTGACTGTACATTGAAGAAATCTGTGCAGACTGATACTTGATTTCAGTAAGGTGGAGATTTTAATTTGATGATTGAGAAAACAAGAATCCAAATACCACACCATTTTGACCGTTGCCAAAAGATTCCTTTCGTTGGAAGAGAAGGCAAAGATCATCAATTTAGCTAAAGGGGCAGCTGATTGGTGGCCGCTGCAAGCTGTTTGGTTGTTGGGATCTATCAGCCATATAAAAACGTTATAACTTATCAGCGTTAAAACAAGATTCGAGCCACCCTTTGATGGTTGTGAATTAATTGTACGCCATTTCATGTTCAATCTAGCCAATCGTCATCTATAGAAGTTCTCAGGAAATGATAGTATAATTGACGGTTGCTGAGAATCCATTTGTATATCTCCGTATTAATGTTTTCGCAACCACTCTGTTTTATTTTGACCAGTATTTTGTCTGGGAGGGCTTTGCATTCCGTGGACTCATAGTCACGTTCTCTTAAAAATGCACTATGATGTCACCAGCTAGGTAATGCTCTGCATTGTACCACAGGTAGTAATTACAAATCACCTAGGTTAATGGAAACGGGCACACCCTCATAAGCGAACCTTTGCGGTGCAGGATGAAGTGTAATTTAGTTTTCAAGTAGTCAATTCATGTTTAGCCGCTCTCGAAGGTCATTTTCAGACAAATTTGCAGGCCATCACCTATGTTAGCTCCCGCCCATAGAACACGCACAAGCCAAGGAAAATCCATACGAGAGCCCTTACGCAACCACACCGTTTGACGTGATAATCGGTTGCGAAATAAGCCCTACTGTTACTACCCGACAGACAGATCTCTCGCTTTTTGTATTAAAAACATGTGAATGTTAGCACCGCCATAGTTTGGAAGTGAGTGCTAAGGCAGGATATAAGACTAATGAAAAGGTAGAACGTCGACGATGCTCAATGGACAGAACCGGCAGGGATTGTCAATTATCTTCCATCAATCATATGGGAATTATGCTACCGAATAATTGACTTCAATGATTTGGGTCGTTGAGACAAGTTCTAGCTCTCTGAGATATAGCCGGGACCTCTCTTCTGAGTAAAGCCTGAAGATCTAAACACAGTGTCACCACACTCCTTGATCATATGCAAAGTATGACAGAAACTCACGGCGTTAAGCGGAATTCCTGCATCCCCATTTTTTGTTCTGGTCTTTTGTCAGATGCCGGAATGCAGCTTTGACGCCTGACCAGTCGTTACTCCCATATTTCATCAGTAATATACGGCGTTGCGCCAGCATGCGTCTCTGTGTTTGCCTGTTTGTGGCGCACTCATCGGCTGGTCAAGCGAATTGGGCTAAGTAAGAATCGCTTCACAAAGTAAGAAGCACAAAATACACCAAATAGTAGAGTAGGGTAGGAACAAAAATAATAAAACCTGAGGAATAAAACTAGGAATTTTTGAAAAGAAAGTCCTTCAAAGGCAAGCTGCTGCCGAATGTGTTTTCACACTTTGGTAAGAAAAATATATATTACACATAAGGATAAATGCGTGAAGGTGTACTGGTTGCAACAAACACGAGGTTGCAAAGCAAGTCGGTGTAGACGAGGAGCTGAAATAGAATTAACCTGAACCTCTTGGTCACAATATTATTCAGCTTAATGCCTCGCAACAACGTCATCTCACGTTTTATTTTGGATAACGAAGTATGCTTCAGTACTACTCATAAGGTTGAAAAAATTTTGACAGCCCACTGCCTGTTGTAGGTTTCTATTGATTCATCGGATAATCCTAGTTTTCATCAATAGGATTTGTCTGTGACCTCTTAAACCCTACGAAAACACGCCCATCCTTCAAAGTGAAATGTGAGTCGGCCTTTGCTGAAGACTTGTAACAGAGGGATCCTTGTAAAATTAATCTAAATCTTACGTTTGCAAACGAGGGTTTAGCGAAAAATACGCGTACTTTAATGCTCCCATCAGAAAAAAAGGTCATAAAGATTATGAGATTAATTGTCTGGACTTGACATTTCAAGGGTCACTCAAAGATTTGAAGCATACGATAGTCGGCTCTAGAACTCCACGCCACTCGCAATGTGCCATGTGCTTCACGGATTTTGTGCGGTGTCAGTGACAGTAATCTCATAAGTGTGTGGAGGAATACACTGTACGTGGCATTTCACTACGCATTTGGCACTATTTACTCTCCCTGTTAAAATAAACAGGGAAGTACATCTTGTCTACCGAAGTATGTGATGATGCTGTGATGCTATTTATAAAACGCAAGATTCCTATATGCCATCAGAGACATGAATTTTTCACTGACTAAGCAGTAGATAGACTTTGGTTAGGTTCTCCCTGCCAAAATAAGCCGTGCTAAACAAAACAGCACATAAAATGGGTTAGTTTCAGCCAAGATACACGTCCTCTTAAGGAAGTACACGTAAGATAAATGAGCAACTGTGAGATGTGATTTCGGAAAACTGAGGGGTTCAACAGTTGTGGTCACATTTGATGAGCTGATTGCCAAGTGATTGCAGAAGCTAAATCTATTGGGGTCGAATAACAAACAGCGGACTCTAATGGAAGCATTCATGAACTAATATGCACCGGGGTAAATCGTCTGAAGTGTGAAAAGATTTGTTTAGCGGTGGCTACCAAACAGACGGTACGTTGCTCAAAATTTGGCAACTCGGCAGTACATTAACCACCGATCCACAAAGGGATGAACTAGTTAAACCATGATATCGAATCGCAATTTGAAACAATTGTCAAATAGACAGAAAAACTCAAAACTACGGTGCAAAGAGAATTGAATCGACTCAAAAGGCATTACTTAAGATATCAAATCGTGAAAGAAATTGATCCGAGTTGAAAGCGCCTGACGCAAAGTTATTGTTTTTAATTAGAGCGTTTTTTTTGTACTAAGGCATAATCAGCACACCTTTTAATGGCTCACAAAAAACGTACCAACCTCAGCGGCTTGGCCTACATGCCTACATGCGTAGAATTGGAATTTCAGAAGACTCATGCTCTCAGCCCGCACAGGTCGCAAGTCACTGACAGGCAGGTCGAGACAAGTTTCGTCAAAATAGTCACGATGATAGTAGGAAGTTTTAAAAAAATTTACACGCCGCCTGGAAAAATATGGCCTCTTGGCCTTTTGCAAAACACTTCCCCTGGACGCCTTCCACTCAGAACTCATAGCAAGGAAGACTATGTCACTGGTATGGTACATGGTGCTTGCATGTACATGCGTTTGCATAACTCTCCAACATTCTGACAGGAACGAAGGTTGCTTGTAGAGCGACTACCGATAATCTTTTACAAAATCGCCTCACACTCATTCGCCATATACGATTATGACCCTTGAATTTTTCCTGACCACTTGTGTATGCAATACTTTGAATATATAATGGTAGTAGTTTGTAAGACGTGTTTTCTGGTGCAAAAGACTCTGTCCTTGACATACAACGGCTTCGAAATTTTTCGAGCAAGTCTGTGTGCGTTTCTGGCGTAGTGCGGTTGATCACCATCCCCTCCCTCCAAACCAAACCATGCTGGTTGGATTCATCATTATCAGAACTGGAATTACTTGATGCATGACACTTACAGCATCAACTACTGGACCTTTTACCCGAAAATAAGAAAGGATCCGGAAGATTTACTTCCAGCCTGCCTGGTCAGACAATCGACTTATTCTTGTGTTTAAAACGAGGTGGCTCGAATTTGACGCGATATTCATTTGTGCAAGGCCCGCCATTCAGATAACAAGTGGCCTTTCCGCAAAGGGTCAGCCTTTAAAATTTCTAAGTATGATGCTCCTGTATAACCCGTAACGCACACTGTTTGGTGTTGCCTTGCTGGTTGGTTTTACATCTACTCATTTCGAATTTCCATTCGGCTTCATGGGAGACCCCAGATAGAAAAACATCACCCGAATGAAATCTCCATGCCGTTCACCCTAACGGTGCACCGATATTTTTGCATAGATTCCCGAACGTAGCTGGCTGCAACTGGTTAGTAATAGTGTTGAACCGACGCGCAGGCTTATTGCCTTTGTAACCGTGTGACAAATTCAGTGTGACTGTCTCTGTTGAATCGTGCGGTTCTAGGTGAATCTGATCTATCTCGGATACTTGCAACAGGTTCTCCTGTTTCCAATGTTAGCAGTCTAGCTCTTTCATCACTTTTGTCATGGAACACAGACGCATTAATCGTCTTATCTTCGTACAAGCAATCTAAGCAGCAGAATATATATATAAACCCCTATCTGGGCTCGTTCGTTTACTCATTGTGCCGAAACGCGACGATACAAGAGCTGATTGCAGGGAAGTTTATTTTATCGACAAGACTATATGCGTCCCGTCACTTGGCCGAAAATTGACAAAAGACCGTTTCTCAATGAGCAGGAGTTTATTGTTGAAAGTTATGTCCACTGAACGGCTTCACTCACATAAAATCTGTTCATTAATGCGATCTGTTTTCATGTTTTTGGATCAACAAAGGATTTCCACGTATATGTTGTGGCCCCGATCAGTGTAGTCCGTCAACTGAGGAGAGCGGGTGAGTTCATCATCATCTTCTTCAAATCACAATGATGAAGGACTGTCATAAAAAACACCAACATACTTTAACAGTTGGTTAACCTTTTCATTCATGCCTCGGAAACTTGCAGAATAAAAAAGCTGTTTCCATTGATGCAGCAAGACTAATCGAGTAGCTGGATAAGACAAGGGTGAAAACCTTTCACCCCAGTGTTTTGTTATTCCAGCAAACACCTAGGAACGGCCTAAGTTTGTAAAACTGAACTGAGCGACGCTCAACTCTGGTGGCCACACATCTCGAGTCCCTGTTGTTTACTCTACTTTCACATCACTGATTTGCTTCAGACAGATCGCTTACATACCATTATTATTATTGAGTCGCCACCTCCGACGCACATCCGAAATCTTAATGCACATACATCGGCTGACTCACCGCCGTTGCGAAATTTCAACAACAGAGAAAAACATCAATCCTTGGAAGTAATTGGATGAATAGTGCTCTCTTTTTCACAAGTTGTTTATCTCCTGGCTTATTGTTAATGTTGTGTTGTGTTGGAAAATGGATTTTAGAGTTGCTTGGCTGATGAGCATAAGTTGCGCTTCATGAGCTGGACACCCCACTGAATGATGTTGGTGTTTTCAAGCATAAAAAATCAGAGAATCGTGTTACAGTGACGAAACGATCGGTATATGATACACGTTTGGCAGATGTCCGTCCGCTGTATGATATAAAATCACGTCAAAAATACCATACATCGCTGATTCTTCAGGTTGTACGTGAACCTGATCGTAGGATGCACTGAAATGAAAACTCCACCACGTATTGTAAACCGGTGCAGTTGGGCCGTGCAGAGAACCTATCGCTAACATATCTAAAGCGTACAGATGGGGCACAACAGTGAGGTTTTGTACGATATTAAGGAATTCTTCTGCTACCTCTCACCAGGCGCCCAATACAAACCACGAAAATAAATAGACTTAAAAAAAGAAAATTTACTATTTCAACGGCCTGCTATGCAAGGGTTGCACCAATGAACAAATTGGATTCCGGTTCTTATTAGCTGATAGCCGCAGCCTCACTAAACTTCAGAACTCTGGAGTCTGTCGTGCTGAACACGGTAGACCAGTATAGTCGCCAGATCGATCTGATACTTGTTGTCAATCGGATGAAAAGCAGCCGGCGAGGCCAATATTGTAGGCTGTGAACTTGTCTGACATTGCTGTTTGGTCGGTACATCTGACTGGTTCAGCATCCTCCGTACTCTCAGCGCCAGGTGCTCCCCATCCTCAGTCGTATTTCCGTTCCACTTGGGGAGATAGCCGTGTACTCATGCTAGAATCTGCAGATGAATTTGGATTTGGCAGACGGTGGTAACGTAACTCTGACAGAAGGCGATTTGTGTTAGTTAAGAAGATCAGTCCTTTGTACCCAATCTGTCGGATGACACTATTTGTACTGGCCTTCAGTAGTGCTGACCACGCCCTTGTAGTCGCGCACACTTTCCAAATGAACACCTTCAAAAAGTCACTGAAACTGACCGTACTTCAAGGAGTATTTAGTCCTGCCTGAAGTTCGACAGCAGTGCATATTCATCGAGCTCAATGTGGTAAAGTTTTGACCTGAATAAGCTAATGTACCATCGGCACAAAACCCATGAAATGTTGGTTTTGTCCTGTCCAAATATGCTTGCAAAATACTATTATTAAAATGGTTCCGTCGGACCTAAGTTGGACGGAAAAATTAATAAAAGTAGACCTGCGTTTATTTTGTTCCAGACTGAACTCACTGTTTGAGTCCAGAGGTTTTCAGATATTGTAAACGCTCTGCGCTTCCTCTGGTTACTTCTTAATGACTAAACTGTTGCCAACTACATGAGAGTTAAGTTTGCAACGGGAATGTCGGGGAAAATAAGGCTCAGAGGTCTTCTCAACGTTATCCTTTTGGACACAAATGAATGTCTTGAAATTGAAGTTAATGCTTGTCATGAATGACGAAATCAGTCGTCCGAATTCCCTAAAGAATGTGGCAAGTGCCGCAAATCGAAAGCTGGCTTGGTAGCCCACCATAGAGTTCACGACAGTGAAAGTTTTGGTGCGAACACGGTTGCCCAATTGGCCTTCGCTGATTATTCCTGCCTTTTTCCGACGAAGATTGGCCTAAATCAGCATCGCCGGCACGCACATCCCACCCAGCATAATGCAAATAAGCTTGACCGAGTGAAGTAATCCGGCACCCGCTGATCCCAACAAGAGTCACAATCGCTCTTGCGCCTGGCTAACAATTCATATCCGTCTTGTGGCGCGTAAACCGCATTGTTCGCGAGTCGACCGGCTAATAGCATCAAAACCAGGTTACGGATGCTTAACTGGCAAGCACAATAGGGTGAATCATCATCTGGTGGACCTGACCAACTATCGGTCAAGACGACGACCTACTCATCAGAAGCCGATGGCTACAGCGTCTGGTTTAAACAAACCGTAGATTGCGCCTTGGAATTCCATGCTGACAGTTCGCTTGCTAGTTTTGACCTTTTGGCATTTGCCCGAGGGTTGCAGTCTGGCATCATGACACCGGAGTAAATCCTGTCGCTTCTGGACCTCCACGCCTTCAGGACATTCCCACACACTTAGAAGACTGCACCGCGACGCCGTCGTCAGTTAGCTTGTCAGATGCCGGTCTACCGAAAGCAGGCCCGCCGAGCCAACTACGCCTCCCTCCAGACCCTATAACACCAAAGACGGAAAGATGCAGCGTCTGCTGTGCTCGATGGGTCATGGATCTATACAAAGGCAACTGCAGTCTAACTCTGGACGCCGAGCAGTATTGGATACAGGTGCTCTCAGCTCCAAAAACTCGTGGATAGCCGATCAAGTCGCGTAGTACTACCGTCAGATTGGAGGTTGATTAATCCAGTTAAAGGAGGGAAAGTCGGCCATACGATCCGTTCAATGGGCAATTCGTCCCCAGGCCTGGACAAGCTCCCGCCCAGGATGCTCCGCCGGTTTAATGCTAACGTGCTCGCTGGGTATTTCAACTTACTATTGTTACCTGGAGGTTGTCCCCCACATCTGTGTTGAGCCCTTATTGCCCTAGTTCTGAAGGTCCCAAATCCGGTTTTATCGGATCAACTAAGACCGCTCTCCCTGTCATCCATTCTTGTCCGTTGCTTGCATAAGGTGCTTGCTGACCGCTCGAGTCGTAGATTGCAACTGCCCTCACTCAATTTTGCATTTCTACATCGAGACGGCTGTCTGGAAGCTACATCGCTGTTGCATGCCATACCTCGTCACCCTTCAGCGACTGCTTCTAACTTTAGCTTGGAGTTTGTTGATATCTCGAAAGCGTTTGATTCGGTTACGCATGACAAAAGCGTCGGATCCGCCGAGGCGTTTGGAGCAACGTCACATCTGGTTCCATACATCACACAGTCCTATGAGAAGGCTGCAGCAGTTTTCCCCAGTTCCGAGGTCCACTGCCACAGAGGTGTGAGACAAGGAGATCCACTGTCCCCAATTGATGAGGCTCATGAATTGTCGATGCCGCAACTGGGATAACAGTTCCATGACAACCTAGTAGATGGTCTTGCCTTCGCTGACGACTGGGTCATGTGTGCAGGAATTCAGGCCCGCCTTAAAGAGAAACTTGAAGCCGCTGCAGTCGAGTTGGGAAGGGCTGATATGAAGATAAACGGCCGAAAGACGAAAGTGATGGTGATTTGTGGGGAGAGGAAACATCGGACGACGGCAGTCTCAGTCGAACCATTTTGCTTCGTCGAGGAATTCATCACTCATCTAGGTCCGACAGACACCGTAACATATTTGGGCATTCCCTCTACTTTAAAGAGGAAAAAAGTCTTCAACCACCGACAGCACCTGCTCAAACAGTTCGAAGAAGTGACGCGTGCCCCTTTGAAGCCGCATCGAAGAATGGATATCGCGAGGAACTACATGGTACCAAGGCTGACCTATTCGCTCATGCTCAGTCAAGTCTACCTACCGTCCACTATCTACCGACTACATCAGGCGATCTATATACGTGGCTGGCTACGTTTACCTAAGGATAACCTAATCAGCTACATCCACGCCGGTAAACGACACGGAGGACTTGGTATTCCAAGGCTGACTGCAACAATCCAAATGCAGCGGAGATCGCGTATGGAAAAGCTCCTTTCCATTCAGCGCCGAGTACTACGCAATGCGGTCAGCGATTCTGCGTTTGGTAAGATTGTTCGGGATATCCGAGTACATGGCGCATGTGTAAACACTAAGGAAGAGCTGGTGGCTGCTTGGGGAGATAGTCTGCACAACAGTGTTGACGCTTGCGGTTTACGATAGTTGGTTGGTTTACCTTTTTCTAACCGATGGATTGTATTTCCAGAGCGAGTGTTTCCTCGAATATTTATCCAGCTCCGATGCAACCTGCTCAGGATGTGTTTTAGAGGCGCTCCGCATGATAATGGTGACCAGATTATCTTATGTTGTGGAAACTGTGGCCAAACGGACAGTTTGATGCATATTTTCCTTTCGATATTTGAATTCAGCTAGATATCACGCATGATCAAGAAAACACTTCCTTACGCCTTATGAAGAGCGATAGGGTGGTGATGACGTCCATGTGAGTTACGCTTTGGTACAAATTTTTTATAGAGAGCCTGTTCTCAAATTCAGTCTAGAGTGGTTCATACCCATGAGGTTAAAGGTTAACTGTTTGTTATAACCATTTGTGCCTTGAAGTCTATTCCTACGGTTTTCCAGTCCAACTAACTAAATGCGGAAAACTTACTAAATTTCCGCACATTTCAATCTTACAGCCACAATCATTTATAGATCGGTAGACCACGGTATCTAAGACACCGGGACCGAAACGCAGTTGTTCATCGTGGAAGCTTAGGGAAACCGTAGAACAGTCCTGATTCTGTCCTGACGCAACTATTCTGGTTAGCACACAAAAACTCTGAAAACATAGAGCAAAATGTTGGTAGCTCAGGTATCGTAGATGGTCGTTGGTTTGTTCGCTGAGCTGGGCAATTAGACCGCAAACATTTAATCACCAATCGAAGTGACATCATCAGTGTGTTGTTAAGGAGCGTGGTGGTCCGCAGTGATAGGTTGGTGGTTGTGCCAACAACACGTTTGCAATCAAATTGGCTCCGCTCAGCGAACAAATCAGCAACCGGACACTAAAGATACTGACCTGCTGTTATCTGACCTTACCAGCCAGTTGTAAACTGGGCCGTGCTAGGACTAGTAAACCAAACTTTCAGCACTTTGTAAATTACGTGTGTCAGTATGCTGAGTGGCTTAAGTGAACTCCAGGTGATATTACCTTGACTTTCTGTGCAGCAATTGCTGCGACAGTTGTGATCTGATTACGGTGATACCTAAGAGATAGTAAATGACTCACCGACGTAGGAGTAAAATCCAAATCAGTTCAGAGGGGAAATTCTTCACAGTTTGCGTGAAGCTCTCACCTGTGAACTAACTCAAGCAGCCATTCGACGCGTGCTCACTTGATATGGGTTTCGTAGTATGTCTATTTCTCATTATCATGCCCCAGGATTATTTGATCGGAGGATGAGTGCCGTTATGTCCTGAATAGATGCGAGTTATTCGCACTGTTGATCAAATGCTTTATCCACTGTTCGGGTAGTAGCTGGTTCAGAACTTCCTGGCGTTTCGTGGGGTACGCATTCTTGGCGACTTACAATGAGGATGAAGCAGCTATACAGTGTTTCTCTGCTTTTTGGTATAGAACTGCTTTATTTGCAAGACGAAATCCGTTTGCAATTATCAAATCCCCTCAGTGTGCCAAAAGAAAGGAAAGTTTGTCGGCCACTTGGTCATACCCTCAAACGTTGGTTGCAAGCATGTCATCCTTGTTTAACACGACCGGATTGTTTTCCATACTATTTTCCATAAAGCTTTTGTAATACGCTACCATATGGAAGGTATTTGGCCTTTCAACTTCATTTCTACTTTTGAAGACGACATTACCATTAGGAACATAAAACTGTGCCAAATTTTGTGCAGTATCCTGACCTATGGACTCTTCTCTGGATAGTACTGCTATTAGTTGCGATGACCAATATGACATACATCAAATCAAACGCGTTTAGATGGGGTTGTTGGCGGTGAAGCTTTTTGTCATGAAAACCCAATGGACGCAATTCTACTTTCAGTTAGTGCTCATTTTGAAAGGGAAACAATTTAAACTGACCGTGACTTGGCAAGCGACTGAGCGTTTGGCGTCTAACAATTTCGGGATGTATGGAGATCCCAAGTGACTGTGATCGGTAACAACCGTCGAACTTTTTGCACTTCGACTGCAGTCCAATTAGAGCTGTCTATAGTTCACTCAAAAGTCCTAATACGCGTGTTTTCCCTAATTCAGTGTGCAGATTCCGCTGTGGCTGCGAACGGTGAACCACTTACAAAGTTGGAAATGCCGGTTATTCAATTGTTTTTACTTTGTTTAAATTGACAATTTTTACTCAAAACTTGTTTATCATTGTCCACTGTGATATTGTAAGTTGGTCACGCACGTTTCCCTGGGTTGTTGAGCATGGAGAAGAGCCCATCATTTTGTTTTTTATCGCTCATCCGCTTTGTATTACCACAAGTCACTTATTCTTGACTACTGATGTAATGTCACTGGCACCATCAGTGTTATCTTTGGGGCCTCGGGCAATAAAGCGAGAAGATTTCGCGACATTCAGTTTGACTGTAGCCGGTTGCATTTTAGGTTGCCACGTCATGAAATATCCTCCAGAAATCTTGTGCCAGTAATCTCATGGTTGAGTAAATGGACATACGGTCATTTAAATCTGGTAAGTTGATTCTGTTGCTCTAACGATTCGGGTTTGTAACCAAGTGGTTACGCAGAATTTCGTCACAAACTCGCTGCAGCCAGGTAACTGCTGCTACGCTGAGCAGACACTGACGACAAAGTGTTTAAAGATACCTAATTTCCCCGTATTTGAATGACCAGTTCCCAAAACCATAGAGTATGAGTGTTCATACAGGTGCCTTATATGCAGAACTCTTTAGCTTCACCGAAATTTGTTACTGACGTCACAAGTGATGCAAGCTTCCGGACACTTGATTGTCCGTACACTGTCTCCATCTTTCAAAGCACGGTCGTGGCTTACGAAGCTACCAAGATACGTGAAATGTTCAGCAAAGCCAAACTCTATTTTCCAGTGAAGCATGCAGCGATGGGAAACGTTGAAGCAAAACCCTGCATTTGAAGATGCAAGATGCGTACAGAAAAATGGGACAAATTAGGATATTCTGATTGAAGTAATTTACATGGACAACTAATGTTCACAAGATTTCCCCAATTAGTCATTTTTGTCATTTTTTCAAACACCTAAGAGCTTACGGAATTATATGGTGTTCGTCAACTAGGATCTTGTAAAGAGGTGCTTTCGCCAGGTCCTAGTCAATTTAAAGGATTTGACCATATGACTTAAGCGCTGATAAGTGTCTACAAAACGCTTGAATCACCGCTTCAACTCCAAATTGTGTATCAGGCAATGACGGATTTCCATCGTTTTTAGTGTGAGAAGATCGGGCTAGCAGCATGGTACTTCATGTCGACTGCCTACATTGAAGTCTGCCAATTTTTCAGGAACCACTTGGTTACCCTCAGTGGGACGTTTTAGAACTTCCAATGAGATTTGACTTCACTGGCAGCTGTCGGAGTACCCGGTAGCGCATATCGTCCCACAAATGATGGTCGTGAATTCACTGGAAGGTAAATAACTCATATTCAACTGAATTTAATTTTGACATTGTGGTTTGCGATCAGCATTTTTCAGTCACTAAATCCGAATTAGCGTGATCATTAAAATTTCAAAATTGTGCAACACTGGAAGTGGCGCTTAAACCGCTAATTCAAGAACCACGGTGTCCGAAAGTGCAAGCCGTATGTATGTACGCTGATCGTGGAGCAACGAAAAAGGCAGCTTTTCGTCAAGAAAGCGGGAGCTCCAAAGGCACTCATTAACGAAGGGAGAAATGAATACTTGTACACGTCTCTAATTCCTAGCTGCACCCCACATTCATTTCAAAAATTATTTTATTTTTAACATGAAGGCTGGGATATAAAAACCTTGAGTGCGATTGAATTGGCGAGTAGCAAAAGGCGCAAACGCATGGACAGAGCTATATTTGGACGGGAAGTGATAAATGGATAGTAAAACGAGTTCTCCTCCAATCTCTGATTAATGCTGGTGAATGTAATCACTTGGTTTGATCCCACTGATGCCATTAATATGTGCCCATTAATTTACATACAACCATAGTTATTTTTTTGACGAGTAGCTCTGCTCTCATTCTATTGTGGACACCATAATTTCCATCCACATAAGCGCCGCCTTCCCCACGCCCCACTCCGAAGAAACCGGTTTTTAAATTACCCATTTTTGCCTGACTAATACAGACAGGGAATTCCTCTACAAATGTTATCTTTGGATAAGGAAAACTAAGTGTGCGCTGTTCTGACAAGATGGTGCATGTAACTCCTAACTGATACGATCCGGCAATCTTAGTTTGCAAAGCTGATCGCGCGCAAGTTTGCGTAACTACGGATACCTATACGGTTGATTCTCTACTGGATGCTGTACAAGGAGAAAACTATCTGCACGCAACGTATTTATATGTCTGGATAAGAGAGTGAAACGTCTGCTGTTTCTACTGTACATTTCACCTCGGCAAACGTAAGATGATCCGACTTCACTTGTATAACCTGATGGATAGACGACAGGCTTGGAAAATTCACATAGATTCGTCGAAACGCAATGTTCCGTACTTTGGGGACGAAATGGAATAAACAACGCACGTCCTGCTCCAGTCGGCATTGCAAAAGAAGCAGCATCGGATTACGTGACGTGTGACCACGTGTTACGAATCCAGTAACTGTTGGATTGGTGGAGCTACAGTCTGTCTAAATGGGTGTTAATCACAATGCTGATCAGGTACACAAAGTTGAACGGTTGTGTTCAGCCGTTCTCGAACTTTCATGAGATGCGCACTGTTGATGCTACCAATTAAATGGAAAACAGCTGTATAGCGCTTCTCGGCTTTTGAGCATAGATTGGTTCACGTACAAAAACGCTGTTGAAATTCTAAATTTCCTCATATTACCAACTCAAGTTACGTTTCGCTCCATAAATCACCTAGATCATCACGCTGGACGCCACCGGAAGGCTGATATCTGATGGTCCAATCTGGAAAAACCCGTTAATTACAGACCCATAAATCTTAGAGTCTTTTTGCTCAACCTAACCCAAAACTATGAAATAGAATTTAAAGCATATTTAGCTTCTCTTTCACATTGCTTTAGGGTTTCAAACTGTTACAGAAAAACTGTCAACAAGGATTAATGAAATTTAATTTAAGCTTGAGTTAAATTCTAATACCTTGGAGAAGGGTGTATATGGNAGTTTGTATGGAGCATACTACAAACGACCGTTTGTAGCGCTGCACAGATAGATGAGAATGTAAAATGTTAATGTCATGTCACCAAGAGCATGAGGTTACGTGTTAAGCAACGATGCATTTTGATTATCTAGCCGTATAAGCTTGGGCAGCGATCGAAAACCGATGAGTAGTAAAGCACCATCACACAATTAGTTGTGTGAGTTTCTCACCGATCGCAATGGGGATGAGTCAGTGAGAATTTACTCAAAACCGAGACTTTTAGGAAATTCAGGGTCCCAATTTGCACAGTAAGACAAAAACATGTCAACCTCAGTGTAAAACTACTTCTAGGAGTCGATTTCTTCGTTGAAATTATGTGGGAGACCGGACGGTGTATAAAAGATAGTCCAAAAAGTAGAGTTCTTCAGGTTTGATGTAGTGGAAGGAAATCGGTTTGTCTGAGCAACACAGCGCATCCTGAGGGTGAAAAACCGACAAAAGCATGCGTTGCACTTAATTACAATGGATCGGCACAAGATTTCAACCTAAAATTTTGAAACAGCGTGTGTGAAGGCAATCGATGAAGATCACTTGTGGCGTGGACATTATGACCACCACTGACCTGAGGTTCTAATTAAGGAGTATGGAACAGAAATCGGCTGACCGGAGTTCGAGTTTCGCTCGATAATTCCCACATTTTGGGGCTCTTCAAACATATCTGCATACAACAAGTGTCATGGAAGATTAGACTAATCGTATGCCTCCACCGCTACTTGAAGAAGCTTTTCTGAAGTTATTTCTACCAAACTTAACTTTTGCAAATATTTCTTCGCAATACCGACTTGTTTGAACCAGATCCACTGTTTTTTATGGTCGAAACAGCTTGAAACACTTATCAACGGAAAGTGCAAACGATGACTCCCCGATTTTCAAAACGGATCAAGTGAGGCTGGTCACCCCGATTCAGAAATTGTATTCTTTAACTTACGGTGAGGTGAATGTTGCGATGTATAGAATGCCTATTGCCAGGTCGCTTCTGCAAGACAGCCTTAGGCACGGTGAGGCAAGACGCACTGGAATCGACCAACTCATTGATTCAGTCCATTATGGCAAATCTGACACAATACTGTCTTCTGTTCTGTGCTAACTACCGTCAACTAAGAGCAGCGTAAACCGACAAGCATGAGGACAAGTCTATCTCGTTTATCGGTTTTCTGGTTTTCCACGAACCTATGATCAATGCTTGTAGAGTTGAACAAGATCATCTTTGACTCATCTGTGGAAGAAAGCATTTCGTTCCGGCGCTGGTACAATTTCCGAAAAACAGAGTAAGGACTACGAATCAGAAAGCCAGCCGCACACAGTCTTTGGGCCGTGGATATTATATTACTCGTTATTAGATTACATTTGATCAGCCCGTGTTGACCAAATTTTGACACCAAACGGATGAGGCCAACCCTAACAGCTGCCTACCAAGATTGGTCTATTTCTTGTGGGTATAAACAATTTCACACCAATTTGAGGACAAAGTTTTCAAGTAGCGTGCATCAGTGAATCGCTGACACCCTAATATCGGATGGGTTTTGTTCGAGACTAATCGGATCAATGATTTTCTTACCTGTGGGACATCACAAACAGGGTTTCCAGCCGAAGTGCGGCTGATGTTCGCAACCTTTAGATTCTTGAGAAGGAATGGGTCGTTAACCATGAAAATAATATCATTGACTTCCGCAATACATAACAATACCCGTAACTTGCTGACGTCATTAGGAGCACACAATGGCGTGTCAATAGCTCACATCGAAACCTCTCAGGTTATGAGGTTTGGTGACTTTATTTGCAGAGGACAAGAACGCCATTATTTGCATCACCTGGTTGTGTCACCTTTAACTAAGGCAGGGAATTGGGCTTATCTCTAAAAGTGTGGGGCTAAGGAGGTGAGTAAGCGTCATACTGGGTTGTGGTCCAGATCGTCCACGTCGATAAAGGGTGTGTTAAGACCAAATGAGCAAGCTAGAAACGGAACAGTAATTCGATTTGGGAACCGCAGTTGTGCCTGTTCCAACGGTCATGGGAGCCGACATGAACCGGGATTCATTTCGGGGTCTGCTTGCCAGAAACCTCTCACAAATAACTGATTATACAGTGAGCGTTTTCTGCAGACAAGGGTTAGTATCTAACCAAGCGATTGAAGCCAACTGAAAATGCGACTCAAAAAGTCATGTCTTATTAAAGACTGAGCGTAACCAAACAACGTTTAGGTAATATTTGACTGTAGACTATACCCACAGGCACTTACAAACGAAATCCAAATTGGTCCAAATTTGACTCACTTTCTTGTGGTTAACAAAACTCAGGCTAGCTTTAATCCCTTGACTTCGTAGGTAACCAAACGGAGAAACTGTGAAGAATTTTAGATAGCCCTTTTCATCCACGGAATGAATTGCTGGTATACCAAGAGCTTCAGCACAAGCACCTGAAGGGAAACGAACACAGATATGTGGTACTACAGTGCAGGATCAACGTATGTTGAAATGGGTCAGCGTTCAGGTAGCAAACAATGGTCACATCAAGAGCAAAACGTCCATTTAGATAAGAAATTCTAGGCTGATAACAACCAATTTTNACGTCCTAATCCTGATAGTGTAGGGAATAAAGCGCGTTCACGTGAGAAATGCGGGCTTTCAGAACTAGCAGTATGACGCTTCTCACAGAAGACCAGTATTACTAGGTTTCTGTAAACCCTGATATCATCTCCACCCCAGAACAGACTTGCAAAATCACAGCACTCCAACATCCAATCATGGAACCTGCATGGAATGCGGCCAAAATACTGGAAAGAAACAGCACGATGTGGGGTCCTCACTGGCTAGTCTGAAGAAGATAATCCCGTGACATTTACTATTGTCTATATCTGGGAATAGTAGTGAGCGGTGCAAGAGCCAAACACGATTGAATGAGCCAAACTGCAGTGTAGGAGAGGGTCGGTGAACAAAGGCCTGTTAGGATGAATGACTTCCCGGTTACTCGGTCGAAGTACCCTACCCTGAGCCCTTGAATCAAAAGTCTGACCAGCAATGCAGTGGAACCATAAACGATTTGCTTCAGGGACACTTCCCTAAACCTCTAACTCAAAATGTCGAACCATGAGGGAGCGATGTCTAGGGGTTTCATAAGAAATTATCAAAGGAACCAATGACAAAACCCTCTGACACCCCTCGCTGGATGGCTCGGTTTTAGGGCGCAGGGAGTACGGCATTAGCGTTTCACTCTTGATGCGGATGCCTTCTGAGCATCACATGACTCATTCGTTTTAAAAGTATTTTGACCGTACTAAATAATACGCAGACCGTGACTCTCAACTACTGAGCGATTGGAATGTGCGGATATTGAGACCTACCTTGTCTAACCCATTCTTCATCGGCAAAAGTATTATTCTGGTTCCATTAATATGGACATGGTGATCGCCTGAAGGAACCTCTTTACTACCGCACACTTCCATCATAGAGGGCATTACGACATCATCTCCAGAATGCCTTGTAATATGATTTTTAGCGTGCGTGGGAATCACTGTTCTTAATCGGGCTGCTTCTAGTTGGCCCTTCTAGCGTGGGTGAATATTGAAGAACTGAATTTTAGCCAATACACCTAGGAGTTTGGTTGCCTGGTTGGTCCACCGCGAAAGTTAGAAACGAGCTAATGGATTGTAGGACGTTTTCCCATATCGTGTTCTTTATCTGTGATTACCTTTCATCTGTTTATTGCGATCGAACAGGTTGTATCGTCAGAATGACAAAGAATTAAGCAGTTGGTACGCGAACCTCGTCGTCGAATGCATAAGAAGGGTGTACTACCAGGGGTAACGATAAAGTCACCTCTTGTGTGCAATGCACTGTTCATTAAGAACGACAGGTATTACGTAAGAAACCAAACAATGCCCAAGCGGGTGAGACAAATCGGATGTTATCCTTTGCAAGGTAAACGGTAAGAAGAGAAATTAGGCGGCCACTTCACGAGGGATAACAGATACTACAGTTACAAAGTCTGGCCTCATTATTGCACCCAATTTACTGGTGATATTAATAATCAGAGTAAGGTTGGAGAACAGCATTTTGGTCGGTCACAAATCGAGCGATTTTTGGGCTAGTTTCTTATGAGCTGTTAAAGCAAATGGCCTAAATCAAAGGCGCAGAAGATAGAAGCTTAGAAGTTTGACTGCTGAGGCTGCTCTACCCAACTGATGCTTGCATAGTCGAAACAGGAACAAGCTGATATTTATACAGTTTTATATCACCTTGGACACATCACCGACGGTTCCATTCAACAGCCAGACGATCATGCTTTCCTAATAGGTTTTCTCCGACAGTCTCCCAACAGCCTCCAGCGGAGGTTCCTGAGGAACTAATATGTCCTTCTCAAATATAATTTGGTGTGAACTCCTGGAAAGTACAGCTCAAAAGCTCTGCCACCAACTTAAGGAGGTATCCGATAGTCGAGGATTGTTCTTGAATGAAAACAAAAGTGAGCTAATACACTGGATTAGCTTACCCACTTTCATATCTTCAAATTCGCTGTGTCTTGAATCATAACACATACTGGTATTTTTCATTCCATGAACAAAGAGTCGGAGAGCTGCTCGTGACATGACGTATCCAGCGCCTCCGTCTGCATACCCTTGTTTTACGACGTACTGGAACCAGAAAAGCAAACAAGAAAGGAAGTTGGGCAAACGAGAGCTTAAGTCGTTGCTTAAAAGTGGAACGCAAGAGCCCTCGAGTGGACAGCCCAAGAACCTCCCGGACCAATCACTCAGAACAGGAAGTGACACTTTATACGGTATACTGTGGTTGGGCAAACGTAACGCATGCACCAACCACATCAACCCGGTAAGTTTAGTTTCCTGCAGCGCCGCCATCTTGTACCCTTTTGAGCAACACTCCTTGGCGTAATCTCTGCACCCAAATTACTCTTCCTATTCTATAGAGACGCTCGAAATCAGACATTTGAAGATGTCTACGGTCCTCAGATTGGGTGGGCCAAGTCCGACAAACGTAAAATAAGACTGCACTTACAGTATACTTGTATATGGGGAATTTCGTTCTGGATGTTAAAAATGACATTAGTTGGCGAATGCTGCTCGGACCTTGATTATCCGCGCATTAACCTCGTATGCCACAATACAGTCAAGACTTATGCAGCTGCTGTCATGCGTCAACCGACCAACAAATCAAGCTTTTTATTCTGAGGTATGAGAGAACCACAAGGAACTGGGAAATTTTGAAGTTTAATGTCAAAACGGGGGATCACGTTCGATACTATGGTTAATGTACTTGCCGCAGGTAAATAATTGGCGACCAGCGGAAGGATGCCAAACAAATAACCCATCCACATTAATCTCCTTCCAGATGTGATTTCAATACCTAGCTTCATGACCCTTTCGAATGTGCACTCCACGATAACGTCGAAGACAAAACTGAACAGAACAGGAGAAATAAAAGAACCTTAACGGAACCCAGTAGATGCCACGAGGCCTCTGGACAGTTCATGGTAAAATTTAACCCAAGCTAAATGATGAATATAAGGGAAAAGAAAAATGTTTGTGAACTCTGGTCAATGGTATTTAGGAGTACTAATCCATCAGCATTGTCCAAGGCGTGAGACCTGTAACCCTCTCATTGCAACAATCAGTTGCACACCTGTTTTGAACATGGGAACGACCAATAATTGGCCCCGAATTTCCGGACCACAACCCAGTCAAGCTGGAAAACCAAATTGTCGTTCAACTTCAAAATTTGGAGAAATTTTATCTTGCCCGGCAGCCCAGTGGCGCCCAAACACATTAGGGCATAGCAGTACTCCAACAACTGACGGCATATAAACTCACGCATTACGGCTCGAAATAATAGGCAGACAAACGTGTAGGTCCTTTTTTGAGGTCTGCTTTGCAGAGTAATTGGAACAGCTTCCGCGCATTCTCAACCGCACTGTCCTCTTGCATTTATGGAGGTTGCTAATTCTACCAATCTTCACTGTTCATACTTAGGCCACGTTTGAAATGTCATCCTATCAAGTATCCAACCGAACCTTTACTCCAAACAAGAAGGGATAGAAAGCGTAGCATCAAGACGTGCTAGTAACCGTTCTGAGATCCAGTGATATCCATGTACGCGCTCAGAAACACCACAAGTGTTACGTGCAGCAGTGGTTATCTCGTCTCCCTTGCGATTAATATCCTCCTAGGAGACCGCTTATGGCTCACTGCATCACAGGTTCTGGTACAGATTTCTAATTTTTGATTCGACAGTCTCTCTACTGTTAATAGGGAGCAGGCTTCAGGGGTCTGCATGATCTGAATCTAATTGTTTGTTCCAAAACGGCCAGCATCTAAGAACTAGATTGCCCCATTAGTATGTTATATCTCCAACGCTTCTTTGCGATACCGAGACGCCAGATTTCACAAAGGCACTACTGAGAAACAACTGGTGAAGACCACGGAATTGAAAGGGTAGTTCAATTTCATTTTTGAGTTATGCGTGTTTGGACAGTTATCGATAGGTGTTATTAAATGAATCAGAGCTACAGTTCAGTGGTTCATAAATGGACATGACAAATAAACAGCTCTCAGTGGTGCCACCAGTGCGAGTACTATTAGCATAGCACTGGTTATTTACAAATGTCCATTTGAGGAATAATGCCTCAGCTTTCGGCCTAGGCCTACATCATCACGGATCCGACCCGCAGCGGCAGCTTCAGAATCACTCAAAGTTCGTCGTCGTCTGTAGAGTCTAGATGGAGTGGAGAGGCTGAAGATTCAGAGGTTCAATAGACGTCAACTGGCAAAGTAGTTAGAGTATGCTCACTAGCATTGTGTTGACCGATATTCCTAAGATTTCTCGCGTTAAAGGTAGCAGTAAAAATAAGAGGATGGAGTGAGAATCGCGGAGCAAGAAACCTAAGTCTAAGTGGTAGCCTGAATCATGCTAACTACGCAGGTGCCGGTCTGCAGCGCTAAGAGCTAAGAAATATATAAGGGGTATGTCGAGTGAGAGAATTCAGAGTTACGAGATAACAAAGAAAGAACAAAAATATAAACATTCTCATGTGCTTGATTATTCACAAGAGCTAAGCCGACAAGATGATGTTTCTACATGACGGCTCATGTGACATCGAGGTAATTTTATCCGCAAAGCCAAAGTTGTATGCGGGACGGGGCCCCACCATCAGGGCGCCAAAATCTATGAAGGAGGACGATCAGGGTGCTCAACCAAGCCTTTGGCTCAAAAGCCTGATAGCAATGCAGCGATGGTTGACTTCAGACTAATTGAGCGGCCCGAACTTTTAGCAACAAATTGCCATCTTTCTCCCAACCACCAACCTGGGAAGCCATGAAAATGCGTTGAACATTACTCTGCCCATTGATCAACCTGGTATGAGACCCTGTGGATGTTCCGTGGTCATCTTCCTGTACAACTCAATGGGTTACTAAAAAACGCAAACCGTCGCACCACGATAGCTCACAGTCTCTTCGCAATGGTTCGTCACTACTAATGAATAGTGCGCGTCATGACTATAACAGAGAAATACACCAACCACACGAAACCACCTGATGCTTTTCTCCAACCGGGTTCTTAAATTTCCAATTATTTTTCGTTTGTCTGGGTGCTCGTCATATCTGCGTAATACCGAAGCAATAGAAGTCTTTCCAAAGAAGGAATAAACTTAACTCTTGTCTGGTTGCGTGAGAGAACGCCTGTCGGTTAGGCTTAAATTGGATCCACCAGACCATGCGACAAGGAGAAGACGGTAGACCAATAACACGGCTATACTATCTGTGTTTGATAAGCTGTGCTCACGCACATGCTATCCGGATCGTGTCTCTACCGATGGTGACCTCGGCAACGCGTCGTCCTCTGCACATTTACGTTTCGACCTGCGTGTGTCCTAACATCCGTCGTTTTGGGAAACATGTTGTTTGTCCTCAACGTGGGATTAACCTGCAAACGTTTTTCTGGAATTCTTCGTCGCCGAGTTCTTGTTTGCATTCAAGATGAATTAATGTCATTGTTTAATTCCGTTGACTCAGTCTTCGGTTGCATCTGGAACGTTGCAAGAAGAGAAGCTGGCCGTAGATTCATTTTTCTTTCTTGGACGATATTGGGTCCAATCAGGCTGGCATGCTAAATCCAAGTCACTCAGCCAACATCTATAAAATAGACGCATTTCCTCATCGTCGCAATGCCACTCCCGAACTCCAACGATTTGCCGCGCATTCTCTGACAAGAGAAGGGAACAGCTAAAAATACATCCAGTGTGAGATTTGCCGCTGAATTTTTCTCATTGGTGTTCGCCGCCAGTCTCTAGTTTTCCCAGGCCGTCGTGTATCAAACGATAACTTCACTTTCCTCCTGAACGTAACTTCGGCTGAAGACTTCTCATTTGACGCATTTGGCTTTGGTGCCCTTTGATAGTTGGTTAGGAAAGAATCAATCACATCGTTCATCGGCCTCTCCCCTTGGAGCTTCAGCAGAGCTTGTTTGAAGGCCTGTCCATTTGATTAAGGGTGGTACAGCGGTGACCGGATATGCAACAGCGTGTTGCGAACAAAGAGGTTATTGAAAAGAGCTGAGATCACCCACTGTCCCTTCCTACCGTATGTGGTACCCTGAATACACTGAATAGTTCCCTCAGTTTGGCAACGGTTGGATCGGCAGGTGCAGAAGACTTCTGGACACTTCGTGAAGGTGTCTGCTATTATCAAGTTGTTCTGACCAATACAAATTCCGTGTGTAGCCGTTGCCGTGAAGCCCTAGGCATCAGCCAGTCTTGTGCTTCACGTCGTTGTGGATTTCTTGCAGGCTGATTGCATTGCGGACAACTGCAGCAATACTCCTCCAAATACTTGTCCATGCCAGGCTTACTCATGGTGGACCGTTGTGGAATTGCTTCACCATTCGTTGTCAGAAGACCTCTGGTACTCTCTCAACAATCATTAGGCAATTATAAACGATCGTAAGCGCTTCTTGGCCATTTGCGTATTGATGAAGCTTTGAGTTAAAGTCCTCTCTGAGTCACGATTTTTTGCAGCCAATAGCCGCATTCAGTAGCCTTTTGAATAGTAGCCATGTTTAATGGTGATGATGTGCTCGACTTACCAGTCAACATTGACATTTGCGAGTATCGTGTCTTTAACAACCGCACCATGATTTCTAATGAATCGCGTTTGACAGTCTGCCCATCCGAAGGATAATATTTAATCAGGAGATCGTATCCTAGAAGAGTAGTGGCCCAACCCTGCAATCGGTTATTGGTGTTTGCAGGCTTGTCCAAATATACTAAGAAGAGGCTTTTAGTCAGTAGAGTGGGCCGTAGATAATCGTAGATAAATTCATGAAAATTCTATACTACGAAGATGAGGGATAGGTCTTCTTTTTCAATCTGACTACACTTTCGTTAATCTGGAGTGTGTAAGTAAGGTATATGCGTGATTACCTTCTTCGATCTATTATGAGAAACATCAGATATAACAGCACCAATACTGTAACTGTATGTATCTGTTGCCACCACAAACACCAGTTCAGGATTAAAATACGTGAGAAGCCGGTTGGAGACGAGTAGTTCTTTAGGTCTTTCAGGGGGCTGTTGACTCTGCCGTCAATATACATTTGGTATCTTTCCTCACTGACAGAGTAAGTTGGGTCCTTGTGTGGTAAACTTCGGGCAAGAAGACTCCGTAATGAATAAGCAGACCCAGAAAAGAGGCTGGCACGTCAAATGTTGGCGGCATAATTCTGATTGCTGCTAAGTTAGCTGGATCGGGGCGATTAGGCCAGAATGGTAAATAATAAGTATAAGTACAATAATAAAGTATCTGATTTTCCACACTTCTCATGGCGGTCGTGGAAGCCATACAGGCCAAGGCGTGTAGTGACCGTATTCAGCTTGGCGTAGAAGTCTTCTTCACTTGACCTGGTTAGGATAATATCATTAATTTAATCGGCAACATCCGGTATATCAGTAACATTGTGTCCCTGAGCTGCTTAAAAATAGTTGCAGAAGTGTTCACTTCAAAAGGAAGTCGGTTGCGCTGATGCTATTGTTCTTGTGAGTCGGATGCGACTGCAACTTACAGGTACACATTAGCTGATTCAATTTTTGTGAGGCATTTACCCTCGTTTAGCTTCACGAACAAGTCTTCAGACAATGGAAATGGGTACCGATATGCCTACAGCGCAGCATTCCACTGTGTTGGAAAATCAGAACACAGCCGAACGGCGACAATCGGTGCCGACCAAGATGAGTTGGTTGTTTGAATGTTGAGGCATTGGGGGTCGGGTGTTTTGACGGAAACACAGGTTGACCTCTTGATCTTAGAGTTAGAACGGTGGTGAATTCAGCTCATAGACCGAGACAGTCAGTAATGCTTCTACCACAACGAGTCGGGCAGCTTTTTGATTGTTTTCAGTATCGTCGCCTGCGTTTTGTAACGAAAATAATCGAGTGGACTGTTCAACCTTTTCAATCCAGTCTAATCCTAGAAAGATTAAGGCCAGGATGATAGGGCAAATGACAAATGCTATCTATAGTGATAGCGTCAAAAGTAATGAGACAGTTTAACTCATCAGAGAGTTACAGTAAGCTGACAGATACACTGCGTGTCACTTTTTTTAGTTTTGTTTAGTGCTGGGCCACCAAGAACTTTCAAAGTTCCTTTTGAGATGATGGCGATGTCTGATGCCGTGTCCAAGTGGAGACGGACAGACTTCCTGTTAGTGTGCAGAGGAACATAATTTCCCCTTTCAGCGTGTGGGCCTTGTGGAGTGCCTGGAGCTTCGATAGCGTTTGACGCAGGAAATCTAGCTCGAATAAGCGCTCTGGGCGCATCCCCTTGCTTGCCGTGACACAAGTCCTTTTTGTGTCGTGTGGGAACATGTGTTGTAACGGTGTCTACTAAGGAAGCAGAAGTGGACGAAATACCAAATATCACATTTTCAACATGCTGGGGATATTTCCTTGTTAGTTTGACGGACAGTACGTCTCTGAATCGCATTCTGGATCATTACGTGAAGAGTGTAGCCGGGACATTCTCCGGTATCACGACCGAATCATGCCACGAATCAACCAGGCGTTGGCATTCACTTGAAATATCCGCCAAAGTCACATGTAGATCCTGTTCAATCTTGTTTAAAATACTCGTTCTAGCCTCATATTGATGATCGCGACGATACCCTAACCCAGGATGCATAATAACGACCCACGGGCCAGATCCAACAAGCAACACTGGATTCCCTGAGTCACCGCTTCCGGATAATCATTATTTTGTAGCCATTCATCTTCCATAAACCCCAGGATATATGGATAAAATCACATTGATTCAGACGCAGAGAAATCTTGGATAGCCTACCCGGGCCATTCGCGAAACGTAGAACTTGAGACTCACGTGATTCCAGCTGCCTTTCTCGTCGGTGCTGTTCTTTTTAGCAACCCCAAAAGCGGTTTAGATTCAATATAGTGTAACGGTTCACGTGAGAACATCATCACGTTCGCTGTGGCCATCGCGAGCATGGGACCGCACTAAGTAAAGCTTAAAACTGGATTCAATGGTCCAGTATATTTGAAATTTCCATTTCCTAGTTGCATGAAGATATCTTAGGATGGTAGGCGTGTTCACGGTTCCTGCACACACGGAAAAAATAGGACCAAATAAAACAAACTAACGTGTCTTAAACTTGCCCGTAAAGTTTTGTGCACCGGTAGGACAAGTTACTTGTTACGTCATTGGTGGACCGAAATTGTTTTGTTTGACCTGGTGGGTCAGTTTATACAAAACCAGCCTCACCTTGTGTACTTTTCCTATTAGTACAGGAATATTGGGATCGTGGTCCGCCAATAGCAAACGCATGTTGTCGATCAGAGCGTACGTGTCATCATCAGCCTTGTAGAAGAAATCGAAATCTTCACCAAAGTGCGTCCAAACGTAGTTCAGAGCAAACGCGGTTTTCTGCCACAAAAATTGACGGCCCTCTTGGTTCACTGCAGCTGCGAGAATTGGGGGAACCGGAAATTAATGGATGATTAGTTGGGACTAGTTTGTCGCTGCGTCAAATATCGTAGAAATTGGCTAGCCTTCGATGCCAGTCGGGCCGTTAACAGTGGTCAGCCCATTGAAGGTCAGCCGAAACAACCCGAACGGCTTGCAAGAAAATATATTGCACAAAACGGACATAATATGACTGATAGAGACGCACTGGTTTAGAATCGTCACCTAGGCTAATGGAATAGTGGCAGAATGGTCAGAATCACCTCGTGTATTAATAAAACTTCAGCATTCGTACGTCAGGCTCAACTATTCTCTGTTCTGCCAGCCTGATGTGAGGATCGCTCGCATTCTTGAACGGAGGTGCACTGAACACTGAAGACTACACGCATGTGTGTACTGCTTTCCACCAAGCACTAATGTCCAAGATCACAGGTCCCTAAGTCGTCAAAATCTTCGTGATGCGACAAAAATTTGATGGTAATCGCCGTACAGTTCCAACTAGAATATGAGACCACCCTTGCGCAGAAAATTAAGTTACAAGTGTAAAATAGAAGATTCATCTGCCACCAACGCAAACTAAATTTGAAAACGAGTGCTTCTGTGCAAAAAATTACATCACTATTAAAGATAAAACAAAGCACCCTCCTCACTGCATCCCCACTGTTTCCTCAGCTCTCAGATGAACTTTTGATTGAGATGAAGTATCTATCTTATTCATCTTGCGAACGTTGTGGTCATTACGCGAGAGTGAAATTCATAGAGTTCATCTAGTAGACATCGGACAGTTGGGCAACTGAAAACCAATAAAAATGTTAAGTTAGACGTTCTGATTTGAGAATGTTTCAAAAGTGCCCTTTACATGGTGCCAGGTCCCTTCTTACTTTGGCACTCGCGCGTTCGGAGAAAGCTGTTGTGCTTCTTGTTCACGGGCCCTTTCCAGACGCCACGGCTCTCGAGTGGAGACACCAGTAAGATACGACAAGGACAAACAAACGAAACTCAGGAGAAAGAAAACACAGAAAATGTCACTTGGTATCAGTCAATTGCCTGGTGGAAGACGCCCAATTTAGGCTGTCCATTGCTAGCTGGCATTTGACCTGACTGTTTGGACCATTAGATATATACTGATGACCTGGTGACCAGATACCGAAAACATTAATTTTCGTTACTGTGTTCTTGTTCAAGCCATGGGAAAGTCTATGCAATGCGTCAAACAAGATCACATTTTGGCTTCAGTAAAAAGAAACTATCAAAATAAGTGTAATGCACGACACTGACATACCCAACACTGAAATGGCCCATCTGGTAGATAACCAACGTGCACCGCAAGCGAGTGAAACCTCTCAATTTCCTCATTCTCTACAGCAAAGGGTAGGCGAGAATGGGCGCGATTGAAACCGCTTAGCGACAGCTCGGAGTCAACCCTCTTGTGAGCTGTGCAGGCAGTTCATCTACTTATCAGTTGCAATGTTCCAAGATGTTTTCAATTCTTTCCTCCAGATCTTTGTCATAAAAAGGTCCAGTAGCTAGGGGATTCCATCAAATTACCGTCAGTTTTTCTATTTGGACCACCAGTTAACAGCAAAGGTACGTTAAAAGTACATCAATAGAATAGCTGGTGCAGTTCAGAAATAATTAATCTAATTTCATGCTCCTAACCACTAACAACGGAGAATTGGTGAATAGTGATGCGACACCAACATAAAAGAACAACTTGTCTTTATTGTTAATGTTCTTCCCACAAATTTAAAAGTACCTTTTAAACTGCACCCAGACGTTGCCTAATAGTTTTTAATACCTCTACCGGCTAGCTGGTCACCGCGCGGTACGGTGAGATTATCACTAGAAGTTTTGAGCGAATGGGCACACCGTACGTTTGAATTACTGGAAAGTCGCATAGATGAGGTCTGGTGGAATCAACAGGCTTGATAACCATCAGAAGTTTGCAACTGACAATGCCATCACCATGGATGATTCGGAGACAGTCGGGTTGTTGAGAGTTGCGATATGGAACTTTGACGCGCGTAGATTTGATCATCCCGAATATGAAAAGTAACAATTGGGTTCGAAAGGCTACGGTACCATAAACACAGCCAATCTCAACTTTCCGTGTTCGTGTCACTGACCAGCGCAGCGCAGTGTCAAGTTCCTCATGCCACATTGGTGAGGGTTGCGATCGATATCACAAAAGAGCAAGTCAAAGCAAGCTCATCGGTCGCGGTACGAACAGGCATAGATATGCTTGCGGCACGTACGGACACATGCTAGTGTACCGATTTTGGATGGGGCGTTTTTCGCTGCAAGATGGATTGCGGGTACGGAAGTGCAAAATATGTGTGGATCAAACGTACACGGTTGGAGTGAGCAGATGAATGGGGAATTATCTTGATGCTGACATGTTTCTCATTGGGTACAAAAATGAATTTATCCGTTAAATCGGAAAGCGCCGTTCAGCAGCACAACAAGCGTACAGTAATACGGGTTGGAATGAATGATCAAGATATATATGGTAAACATCATTGGTTGTTGATCAAGTGGCTATTCATCCGTTCGCCGAGCTTGGCAATTGACTTGCAAAGGTCTCGTCACCATACGAGGAGACATCATCAGTGCGCACTTGGCTGGGTACCTCCTGTTTGTCTGCGTGCGTTTACCTAGCATTGAATGCCTATCTGTTATCTCTTAACGTGATTGGTTGTTTGGGTGACAGAATTTATCGTGAATCTATTGGTCCGTCTGTGATCTTTGATGCATTGTGGCTGACGTTCCTGCGAGTTGACTGTTCATCTCGAAACCTTCTATTTTTAGTGGTCTGCTCCTCCATGTCGATTGGCCTCCTTCTCGATTTACATTGTGTTGTGGTCTGATTTTTCTTTATTGGGAGTGATTGGCTGGCTGCACCGCCCTATTTTCTCCATTGTATCGACTGGCATCCTTGGATCCGTCGATTAATTTGGTACTTTGCTTTATTGCACGGACACCCACTCCAAATTGGATGGGACCATCTGCTTGTTTTACAAATTTCCCGTCTGGTTGCTTTTCCAGTTCACAACTACGTGGTTCTTACATTTTCTTGCTCTTAGCGGTTGATAAATAGGGCCGAGTTCAATATGTTTGTTGATAGCTTTTTCGGCGGAGTACCACGCTACCATTAATTTGCGTCCTTTCTACGTTCTTGCTTGAGCCTATATACGAATGCAGCCCCCGTCGAGCCCGTGTCCTTCCTAAACTTTGTGCCCCGTGACTGGAGAAAATCGATCGTGCTTTTGTGGATTATTGCTTGCACAGCGCCTCTAGTTTAAGCGCCCCAATGTGGCTATCTTTCTAGATGTGAAATCTGCTGTTGACACTGTCTATCGTGAGAAACTTTGACGGGGTATGGCGACCAAAGGTGATTCTTCCAAATTTATGCTTTCTAAAAGCGCACTGTATGCGAACTCTTGTGGGAGCACTTGAGTATACGGCAAACTTTTGCCACGTCCATTGGTGTAAGACAAGGCTGTTCTGTCTCACCTTTCTTCCTCAACTTTGTTACTAAAGTGCTGCTTGAAATTTCTCTGCCTGCCTTCGGAATATCGGGAGTCGAAGTGCTTCCGGAACATTCCCTCACAGACATTGAGCATACAGACGATATTGCTCTCCTTGATTCAGATTCTTAAAAAATGCCAACTATTTTAAATGACCTAAACAACTCTTCCGAACGGTTTGGCATGCGCTTCAAACCTGCAAAGTGCAAAATTTTGCCACAAGACTGGGTGAGATCAAACCCAAATCTCACACGGGCCAATCGATGTGGTAGAGAAATTTGTTCACCTGGGCAGTTGCATAATTTCCGGTGGATTGGCTGCAGATGAGATTATTTCTCGGATGGGAAGACTTAGGGCAGCTTTCGCCAACCTCCGACACATATGGCGCCAACGTGACGTGAGTTTTTATGTCAAGAGCAGTGGTCACACCGAGGTGGTGCGATCCAAAATGCTTCATGGATCAGAGGCGTGGCCTCTATGCACAGAGGACGTACGAAATATGTCAGTGTTTGACTATCGGTATCTCTGAAGCATTGGCCGCTTCTGGTGGGTACATTGGATTACTAATGCCAGATGGTCCCAGGAAGAAGAAACTCTCCCGCGATAGAATACTTACTCACGCTGGTTAGGACGGGTACTGGCGGAAGGTCGCCTGCCTGGTAGAGCTCCTTTGCTCAGCTCTGTGCTCAGTGGGAGCGACAGAGAGATGGACAGTGTATAACCTGGTAATGAAGTAAGAAAACTTGTAACCTGCCAGTTTTCTGGATGGGGACCCCGGGACTCATCTCACCAATGATCAGTGAAGCTGGTAGAAATGGCCCAATCGCGCGGTCAGTAGCGCTCGTGCATCAAAGGTATCACCATTAATGCATAGCTACCCAGCTTCCGAACTAAGCATATATACCATTACATCCAAGGCTTGGTTGTACGTCCCATACTCTCCAACTTTCCGGTGATTTAAACTGTAGCAGCTGGAACAAGTATACCCACTATACACAATTTATAGCTGAGATACAAATTAACTGATTGATTAAAGGAGAAAAACCAAACATAAACATGAAACTAGAGGACTCACCAATGGAAGGTAAATCTGTTGAATTCACGCTGCTCATAAACATATACCGATCACACCGTGGTGCCCATGTCGCTTTTATATGCACTGCCTTCTTTTCGTGATTTGGTGGCATTGTGGCTATCCAGCAAAGTAGTCTGATCGGCCTCTTCTCTGTCGCGACTAGAATAAACGGGGATACAACTGTGAATTATCTAGCTTCGGAGAGTTCTCATGTTGGTTTGGGTCGTTTCACCAGTCTATTAATGTCAAGGATAGTATTCCGAGCTGCATAACTGATGGAAAATTTAATACACAAAACCAAGGGCTATGTACAGCGGTAGCTTGACAAAGGGGGTATACCCTCAGGGGCTACTGTCGGAGGATCACCGAAAGTCAACGCAGCGGGATTTGCAAAATGATGAAGAGACCGAATACCGAATACCAAAACAGCTCCGGTGGAGGCGACTGGTGTCTCTAGTATAGTTAAGCTCTAATCATATGCTTGCAGAACTGGACTAGGAAAAAATAGCCAGTAGTGCTGCATACCTACGCACATTCACTTATCAGACGTAAATACGTGGGCCGAACTTTCTACAGGACAGGGGCGAAATGTCACATCCCCCAAGAACAAAGTCACCTCAATGGTATGTTTGAAAATGACGTTGCAACATTGGTAACTGAAGGTTCCATACAAATTCACACTTTTACATACTATTTGTACAGCTTGGTGATATATTGCAACCTCGATTTAGATGGTTAATGTATTTGTCTCCGGTTATTTTGTCTACATTGTGCCGATCAATCCCAAAATATAACGCATCGACCGTTTTCAAACATTGATGGCGTTACACACCGTGGAAAGTTATTAGCACTACGCGTATGGCAACCGTGGTCTTCGAATTAAGAATCAACACTACTAATCTCCCCACGATAATTCGGATGTTGGAGATATCTGTGTAAGTCACACTCTACTCATACGAAATCCAGGAGTGGGTGACTTGTGCGGCCGTGCTCAAATCAGGACGGACACATGTGAAAGCTTGTCACATATCGATTAGTTGTGGCCTTCCATTTCCATTTCAGAGCTTCCAGGTAGATTGTCGTATTTATCATTCTGCTTGGTGCACGCTATGATCCTCATGAAGGTTGGACCGCCTTTTTAACTTATTCTGTCCTATCTCGTACGGGAATTCTTCGCTGGGAAGTACAAGTAGCTACAATGAATAAGAGGCACAGTGCGCAGGAGGGAAGAGTGGTAGGAAATCACATTTAGGAGAGACTTCACCGAATTTTACACTATTTCGAAACGCTGATGATCCCTTTCAGAAAATTTCTATTGGCTAGCAGGTGGTATGTTTGATAGGTTTCTGTGCAACGGGGCAAAGGATACAGGCTAATGTCCGAGGGGCGAAGACAAGACCCCGGGTGAGTAATCTTCACATCAACTATCTCTCAGGCAGATACGTCCGAGAGCAGCATATCCTCTGGTTGACAACATGTTACTGTATGGTTTGTCCCAAGCTGTTTGTGACATGTGGCTTCTGCCCGTGAAACACGCCTTGAATAAGTGTGCAGTCGAAATGTCTGCGATCCACGAGTCGGTATCAAGACTACATATATATATAACTAATACAGGCGAGGCGACTGTTTGGGTCAGCGAGTTTGTATGGAGAAGAGCAAGATGACAACAAAGAAAGACAACTAAATGTTCACAAATGTATGAAAATCATTTTGCGTGAAAAACACCTTGAGCTGACAACTTTTCAGGATCAAAACCAAGCTGATGGAGAAGAGCAAGATGACAGGTGACAAAGACAACTAAATGTTCACAAATGTATGAAAATCATTTTGCGTGAAAAACACCTTGAGCTGACAACTTTTCAGGATCAAGTAAAACCAAGCTGAATCTTGATTATGCTGCCCACTTGCGTACACTTCACTTGACGGAAACGTGAAAATGCGCCATTCTAATGAAACCAAGAAGGACGGAACTGGTCCTGGACTGTCTGGCATTTTTCAACAATTTTACCGGTAGTGTCCCGTCAAGGGATGACTTAATCAAGCGAAAATCCAAGGAATTTGAAAGGCTTTATTACAATCATGCTATGGGCTACCTGGAAGCCAAGTGGTTTCGATTTGCTTTCCTACCATGTTGAATAATTATCCACTTTCGATGGAGCTCACTCAGTCGGGTAACTGATTCAAGTGGTATGACATATTTTCTTTTGGAGTACGTCCACTTCTTACCAGAACTTCACCAAACTATCACCCTACTTCTTACAAGTGATCAAATTTCCAAACGATCGCTTGGGGATACACCAATGCGTCTGCAGTGAAGGAAGCTTGCCACAACCTTCAGCCGACTACTTTTTCGTTATCTGGGCTGTCAAAGAGTTTTCATCAACCTTACATCAAATATCACGTCAAAGTAAAATACTTTGTTTTACTGAGCATCAGTTCACTGGAACATTAACTGAAACTTGCATAGCGCATCCTGTTGAAGAATATTGTATAAAGAAACATTTATATTTCACTTGAGCCCAACTTAAAAGCCATCCATAATTGCAAGTGAGCATTCTATCGGTACTATTTTTTCTTGTTATAACAACAAGCTCGCTCAAAGAGAAATGAGTCTCCACATTTTCAGAAGTGCCGTAATCCTCATAGATGATACCCACATTTACCGCTAACACGTCGGTGTATTTTTCTGAACAACGTTGGGTGCAAAACGCTGGCGTGACGTCACTGTTTTTAAGGCTTATACGTGTAAATACCACTAGAAGATGACAGTAATCCTGTGTCACGTCACCTAACAAGATGCTTTTGAATGAAGTGGTCATCATACGAGTTGGTAGCTTCAATTTCAATTAATAGTAACTTACTCTACCGCTTGAATCAAAACTGAAATATTTTCTACTCACTGAATACGGTTCGTATACATCGGCAATTCTGAAGGGGCAAGATTGTCATCAAAGACCTAGTAGCTTTTGGGTTACACTTCAGTGTGTAGTAGGCACATGATAGTTGTCAGTAGGGCTTATCAAATTTCATAATGAGCGTATTTCGTTCACTGAACTGAAAATGGAGTTGAACAGCGTCACAAAGGTTTGTTGGCTGTGTAAATGCAACAGAATACACAACATGTACTCCACACGTACCCAAACATACAATAGCTACGACCTATGAATTTTCACTCATATCGTAAACAGATAGTTTAAAATGCCTGGTCTTCGCAGTATGAGAAATCTTTGGGATGGATTTTACACATACTGCGTTCCATACAGTAGGGACCATCAGTGCGATCTGACTAAGTGGTCTCTTCCGAGGGCTATCGACATCTGGACATACATAAGCAACGAAACGACTGTACTCCGTTGCTCTCCCTTCTAGATAGTTCCATGTTATTCAAGTGTCCTCAAGAGAATTGGGGTTAAAAATCTTAGCTGTATGAGAAAGTCATGCTACCAAATTTCATAGATTGAGTGCTACGCCCCATCCCGCTTTTTGAATCTTTCAGAAAAAACTCACATCACGATAAGTTTCCTGGTGGGTGCCTCGTTTTCTGCGGGACTTTGCGAGACAAGCGCTAGCATGTCCACAGATGAATGGGTACAGAATAACAGCAAGAAACAAGTGCTACCGATTTTGCTTACGATCCGAAATCTTCATATTAGTTTTTCGGTATTACTTTGTAAAGCTTACTACCACAAAAACCAAGCAACCAAGGGCAGCAAAAATATGTAGCAGCATAGTAAAAGGAAAACAAAATTAGGCGAGAAAAGTCTTTGGCCCGTTGGCGTTTTTGAACTCATCGCGTTGTAGAGCAGGACACATCCGGAACAGTAGAATTTTGGCCATGATATCACGAAGGTAATTCATTCAGAATGGGCGTTGACAGATTCATCACTCACCTGGCCCTATGACTTCAGTAACCGGTTTCGCTTTTTCGCGGTTCACATCCACAATCACGAGTGCGAGAAACGCACCGACAGCTGCATAGATCAGTCTTTCAAAAACCACGCGTTTCCAACATATTTGGATCTGTAGAAGAAAATGCTGATTCAAGCATGTCAATTCGTGGAGGAACCTCATCCGAATCAGAAGGGAATAATGAACAGTTTCCGAGCAACCTACTTCCATTCAACGAATTACTGTTACGTTTAATTACCATGTGCAAGTCGTAGGATAGAAAGCATAGGTCATCATTCCCTTAACTATTGAGGTCCAAATCTAAAACTGGTTCATCGTTAACATATCGTTGGATATTAATGTGTTTGTAGCCTAGGCGATCAACCCACGAGTTATGGTCTTGACGTAAATATTGTCGAAAAACATGAATGTTCAGTGGATTGCCCAAAATGATGGGTATTTCTTTATTCTAATTAACACCTACACTGATAATCTTTATCTAATAAAAAGATACGCAGGTAAGCAGATATATTTAGGTAATTATTTCTGCTTGGTGATGGTTCGAAACCGGATGTTGTCCGATCCACCTGGAACATGTCGAATAGTAGCAGAGTGGATCAGTGCCACATTAGTACATGGAATGGTCACAACAACAAAAGTGTATGAAAAATTCATGGGTATTTTGAATGCCACCTTTGTGCGGGGGAAGTGGTTACGAAACCCTAGCCAGAAGTTTTCAGTAGCGTCCTACGGCGAACTTCGTGCTACCAGTACTTGTCCCAAAGAGAAGTCAGTAGTGTGTATTAATGAGGACCGCACAGATCCGTCTGATTAAGACAGTCACAGTCTTCGGGTGTTATATGCTAAACACATTGCGTGCTCCAAATTTATCCGGTTGATGTTTCCAGATATATTCGTTCACTCTTTGGAGATTCAATTAATGCAGGCAGACTCATTCATTCTTATTCAAAGTTTGGTGATAAAACCGTTCTTGACAGGTTGCATTACATCATTCTTAGGGTTTCAGGACACCGAAACCTGCTCCATATCCTTGACTGGCAAAATTAGGCGTTTGCAAGCCTGGCTTCGGCAAACCAAAGGTACGCTTCGGCAGTATATTAGCCGACTGACTTACCCGCTCGATGTTCCTGATTTAGACGACAAACTAAACAACAGAGCTCAGCGCTCTGGCAACTCACCTAGCACAGTGGTAGGTGGGTTGGGCTTAGTCAACTAACTGTTCTTGCTCTCCACCAAACGGTGGTAAGAAAAACAAGCACGCGGATTGCGGCTACAGGGTGAGATGGGCAAGTATTTTATAAAAAATTGTAGAAAAGTTTAAGGCGAACATTTCGCGGCGTACGACTGGGATGTTGGACCATCGTAGCAGATATCACAATGAGCCAACTCATACAGGCAGTAAATAGATCATTAAGGTGAGAGGAGAAAGTTAATACCTAGGTTGCGGAATAACCCCGCATCCGCTTCCTGAATTCATTAGTCCTCTTGCGAAAAATCGAAGCTACGTTATGAGAGTTCTTCAGCTTAAAGCAAATTTTAACTCGCTATTCTGCCTAACTATCAGTCAACCTGTAAAGTGCACGCGAATGTATCCGCCAGGGCAAGTAGCAAATAACTGAGGGATTTATTCTTAAAAGAGGATGTGCTACGAAATAACCAATACTGATTGCCGATTCAACGGGATAACTGAGAAAGTAAGAATGGCAGTTGCAGTTATTGTAAAAGGTTGCGAACGCTACGTGAGAACAGCATTCCTGACAATGACTGTGTATATGTGGGCCAAAATGTGCCCGTCTAAAATTATGAAGCCAGAAAAAGAGTGAAATGCCACACACAAATGTGGCACCCTGCTCGAGATTCAGCCTGTTTTTATACACAAAAGTAGATACCTATTCGCAACTGACTGTCAACGGGTTTAACAATATTAACGTCTGTAAGCGTGTGGAACTGCGCAACCAGTGAATTCATCTGAATAGGCGAAATTGGACTTTTAAGACAGCAATGATGTCACGCCCTACTAAACTCACTGCTTCGGCAGCAAATTTGTTCCAGTCAATTAGAGGTGGAAATATACCTTTTTTAGACTGTTGGACTCCAGTATATGGTTATGGTAACACAAACGGCTCGTGCGTTCCAGTCAAATACCGCATAACACCACACGCTATAATTTATCTTTGAGAGAATTCCGGGAAAATTAACTCAGCGCTTTCAAACCAGACTGACTGTTTTGGTGGCTTAACGGTTACGTAATCACAAAGGCAAGGCCGACTGGAAGACTATACAGCATATCAAACTTTTTGGAAGGAAATAACACCCAAAATGGTTGACAGACAGCAGAAAGTATTTTCACATGCTCAGCGTTGAAATGCTATTAATTACCGAAGCTGTGTTAGTGAATGTCATACTTGGGGGGTAGTAAACATTCTAGATAGTGTTCAGTATCTCCTGAACAACCCCCACAGTAAGATTTGGTTGAAAATACATGGCATAAAAATCTACGCAACTGGCAGCGTCGTCCACTACACGATGTTCGAGGGTTAAATAACTATCAGCTTTAACGGCCATGTATTTAAAAATAACTCATATTCGCATGTATCTAATATAGCTTGTGTGGATCAGCAAATTGCTCACCAAAATGGAACAGCTAGAGATCATCCCGCTTGCCCGTAACGCATTGGTTGAAATGCTACATGGCTTGCTAGAAACAACCAGAATTGCAAGAATGCGGTATCTCATTATTACCTACTGTGCCACTCAAATAAACAATAACTCGCGATTGTAAGTCCATTGGTTACAGTGCTAGATATGTTGATATTCCCACCCAGGGCCTAAAAAACCATTACAAGGAATGTCTAGTTAAGGCTTAATAGGGAAATCTACGGGAAGGGAAACAGAGAAGCGATGGGATCTGACCTGCACCTATCATATCCGTTCATGAGTAGATTTGAAAACCAGTGGCTAAGTCAGCTTATCAGGCAATTCACACCGTACTGTCATTACATATATCACGCTATTATCAATTAAAACTAGCTGTATCAAAGATGTGGCTGTTCTACCTTCTCTTAATTGCAATACTGCTATCCATGATGGTCTGACTCATTGTTCTGGAGCTCGCAACTGATCGCAGCTTTGGAAACACAATAACTGTTTTCTGCTTACTGCTGAAAAAATGCTTTTGTCCTAAGACTATCGCTCTCGGAGTGCATGTGAGGTGCATCACAGCTACTGAATGACGCCAATCTTTCTTCTGTTGTTCTGCTCCGAATAACAGATGTAATGTTGAGGTAGTCACAGTTTTGACTTTTTCAATCCCGCTGATCAACCTTCGTCATTCTATGGGTGATGGTTCTTAACGGAGCACTGTGGGAATGCTTGAAAGTTTAGGAAAATATTTTATTAATTGATGGTAGGCCTAACGTCTGTTTCTTCTAAAAAAGATATCATTGACACGCGCAACTGAAACTTTACACTGTGCACGCCTCCATAAAGCCTAGGCAACAACAGCTTACTTGTTGGTTAGCGTCCGAAGAGAGACCGAATAGACCAGCTGCTTCAGCCGACTTAACGGAGATGAATGAAAATCAATGGCATGCGTAACGGCGGTGTGTAACGGCGGATACTAGTGAGTTGGCATGCGGGTAATATGTTTACTCGTAAATTCACTTTGTGTCTTTGGAAACTGAGATTTTTCTACGAAATTTGTGAAATTGCTTTCTAGCATCCAAAGGATAGTCAACGAATATCCAGAAAGGTTCAGGAAAACGCGTTCAAGAAGCAGACGGGTATTCAGTTTTTATAAACGAGACGCTGGTAGTTTGCTCTCCTGTCCAATAGTCTGTAACTGTTCTGCTAGTGTTTTCTAATGAACAGTTTTGCAGCGAAGGCCTTATTCCCTTACATTTGGTGTCATGACCAGGATAGGGATGAAGATTTTACAACCATTTGAGATTGGGATGCGGATGTTCTCGGGGGACTTCGAGGAGGTTGCGGAGGCTGCTAGACTGGAGACCGGTAGGAATAAGTTGTCGGGGCTGAAAACCTTCCTCAAAGACCCGCCAAAGGCGACCCTGGATGCGGCCAGAAGTGGCCCTCGGAAAGCAAACGGGGCCGCCGCGAAGGAAGCACTTGCAGCGAAGTTCGACACACCGGCCGACCGCCAGAAGACCATGAAACGATTCAAGAGGGCGAAGTTGGAACTATGATGTGAACCGACGATATTTTTTGCCAGCCTGCCGCTGGATCAAGCCCCACCGAGACTGGACGGAGTGTCGCGCCAGTTGGTACGATATTCGAGAAATCGAGGTACATCTTCTTGACGGATCATGATACTTGTTGGTTTGATATAAACTCCTCAACAGTCCACAACTGATTTCTTTATGCTCAAAGTAGTCCTCGAGTGTTTGTTGATTATATATTCTATTTGGACCCGAATATTACACAGTTGGCAAGGTGCATTAACTTGCAGCCTAAGTTGATGTCAACAGAAGACTCAGATGAATCCTTCGGCTGAATACACCTGAAGAATGACGCAGCTGGTTGTGTGAAACCAAAAAGGTTTCAGAGACCCTGGTAATAGCTTTTTAGCCCAGAAACTAAACCACAATATTGCGACTATCGTATCACCTGTGACATGAGAAGGTGGTTGTACGGTGCAATCAGTCAAATGAAGGTTAAGCTAGAATTCCATTTATTCCCATGTTGAAATTAAGTAGGTGTGCAAATAAGTAAACTTGGCGAATTTTGACAGCACGAGGAATTTACGGATAAGTAACGTATTTTAAATGTCCACTTTTCTGGACAATTAACAAGAAGTGGAACTTCGGAGAAATTATGTAAGATACTATTATCTAGCCAGTCTGATCGGCTTATACATAGCTTCTACGTGATATACGAAGACCTGAATCCTGAAGTAAAGAGCTTAAAACAATCCTATGTGAGTTCTTGTCTTCCGTTGAAAACCTTGTCATTCTAGCCAGGTAAAAATAAAAAAGGGTGCTTCCTGTACAAAAGTTGGACTGCAAACAAAAATTGTCTAGTAGCATAATGTTAAATGCACTGGGTTTTCTCCTACACCTACACAAGTTGGGTGCAAACTGATTTTGTTTTAAAGTTCTTTTACGCCTGCATAACAGGTAGATTTGACATTGTTTTGGAGTAACAAATGCATAAGCATTCACTTCTTTAAAGGTAAAGTATCAAACTGTAGGACTCCACCTGATGGCAGTAAAGTTTACTGATCTAATAACACTTGCCGATCACTGATTGCACGTGGTAAAACTAACACAAGCAGCCGTTTTTATGTTGACCATGGCCACTTTTCAAAAGCTTACTTTTACGCAATTCAGTACTTGCCAAATTTCACAAATCAGGACAACTCTAAACAGCATTAGGAACCGCTGCTCAGATGACAGGAGACAGCCAAAATTACGAAATTTTGCGCACAAACACGGTAACAACTCTACGTTTATTTAAACTTCGCAAAAGAATTTTGTTCAAAAATACACACCAGCTGCCACAATCTTGCCAGTGTTCAATTTTCCGACCCGTATCTGGTAGTCGCCAGCTTCATTCCTAGGTGCTCATCAATGCACTCGTTCGGCCTAGAATCTGTTGTCGCGCGCTACCCTTCATTTAGTTTTAAATGAGCCCGCGTCAATTCTTTGGAGTGTCTTTTGTCAGCGGCACGTTCAAGCCGTTCAAACCTTGCAAAAATGAAGAGTGTGCAATGTAACGGCAGACAAATATCCACACGACACCCAACTGTGAACCGAAATCTGCAAACCAAAAATTTCTATTGATGAATTTTATTTCGACTCTTATCACCTTAAATGCGACCATGTGTGTGCGAGTGGATACTCATCAGCTTTTAATCGGACTTACTGGACGTGCAACCTTCATTCGATGACGTGAATGCTGCAAAATTCCGAAAACTCGGCGGTCCTAAAAGGAGCAACGAAAACATTTATATAAGCAGTTCGCTTTACGACATGTGTAAGAGTAAAATAGTTAAAATCGGCTAAGAAAAATTTTGATGTTTTTCAGGTTCACAAAAAACCCGATGAATGAATTGTCTGAATTCTTCTGGTTAGCCCATAGTTTGTTTCTTTTAACGAAAACCTGAATGAAAGGAATAGGCCACATGTGGTTTGAAGACGCCATAACTGTGCATTATCTTATACACATGAAGTCTGATGTTGCTTTTGATGATTCGATCACAGACTAACCCAAAGTGAGCCTACTGCTGGTTTACAATAATCTACGATACAATAAAAACGTCTCAGTTGTTCCAAACACCCTTGCTGTTCATTGAATTTAGTTTTTTGTCTTCTATTCACGGCATTACAAACAAGACACAAAATATTTACGCTATTTCGATAACCTGTGTTCCGGTGAGGGTAGAATATTAAAACACAGGCAAATCATTCAGCAAAGGAACTCAGGTTTTCCGCCACTTCCTTGAAGTTTCGGCTTTAGATATTTTCACCCAATCGAATGGCCTTTTATATTTTCTTGGCTCTTTGCGATTCCCATACATGCTGGTGACGGTGATGATCAAAAGGCGGATTGCCACTTTCACAAGACTGCCAACTATATCTCTTCAGATACAGTTAACTTAATCTATCAGGATTTTTTCTGTCTAGTGTATAATTAGAGAAAAAGGGGACTTGCTTCAGAAATTACGCTTAAATCACCAATGCAATTTTATTTCAGGCAATTCTAATATCTATTCTCTTGATCCATCTTATCTTTAACTAAAACGTATGTGCATGTGTACAAGTGTCTGCAAGTTTCTTAGTCAGAATAGTTATTCACATTATCATCTGCTATCTAAGACTGCTTCTGCATTTTTCGAATGGATGGAACTTTGCTGATTGTGAAGGATTAATAGCCTTAAACAACGCTTTGGAATTTTCAGTCATCCCTGTGTTCGATTATTCTTCCCCCTAATCAAGTTGGGATATATATGTTGAAACCAAGATATATAGAAACCAATATATAGAATGTTTTGTGACTAGGGTGCATCACTGCTTGTAGATCAGGAGATTGTTGATCTGTTCTGGAGAACACATAAAAAGTCATCCAATGTGCAATCAAATGATGTGAACAGATTGGTGATTCATGCGTGGCAGCAGCATGTTGGGATATCCTGCCATTGAAATCTCTACTAATTCTTCTAAAGTGATTATTCTAAACCTTGGGGTCAAAGCGTCAAATTTTTCATACTAGCTCAAAGGTATGATTCAGTAACCGCAGCGTGTTTATTCTCGACTCCATGTCATCTTTACTAATATATCACTCAACAAATATGTTGATATTCAGAACCCGTACCCACAATAAATTTTACTGCCTTGTGCACACAGTTCACACAGTGAAAGAAGGTAAAAGCAATTTGAAAGAATAATCCATTTTCGGTTGAATGTCACAAAATAGACGCTGTTGTGTACATAATGATAATAATGCAAAGCAGGCTGGATGAGCGGTTATAGTGGCAGTCTTTTGCATTTAACAAAACAACCCTACAGATGATACAGAGAGCCTCTACAATCAAAGGATAGTTCCAGTGATTCTTCTAAGAAGGTTGCAATCTAGGGTAGTTACTTCATAGGAGAGTCCACTTGAGGGATCGGCAAAAAAGCCACTTTTGTAGGCAATGTTCAGCTACAACTTAGCTACAACTTGACCGACTTAGGAAATTGCTCTGAGTTAAATATTGAGGTGATGATGAAACTTGAAAATGATCTTGCATCAGATTGCTCACTCTTTGGTGATATACTCAACATTTGCGCGAAACTGTAAATGTTAATTGCTTGCCGCAAAATCAGTTTTCACCGAAAATCTGAAAAATGTAGCTAAATGTTGAAGGCCTCCTGATCTCCGTCAAAGAAAAGCAACAATTCATTTGAATAAAAATTAAAATTAACATCACCGGTAAAGTGTGTGATTATATGACAGACATCGTTCAATTGCTCACGTTACGGAAAAACTTGTTCAGTCGGACTGTCATGCATGGTACTTCAGGGTCCAGTCAATTGATTTGTCTTTATCTCTTTATTTATTTTGTTACCGTGTCGATGAAGAACCATTTCTTCGTCCTGTTTTGTTCATATGTTTACTTCTGTCAGCAACATCACATCAAAAGTCTCTTATCTGGCACCCAGCATTCGCCCGTATAATTCAGCATCAGCGCCAATAATGAGCCTCTCAAGCTTGTCGAGATCAAAAGAACTCTTAAACAGGCCATCAGTTAACATAAAATTGCGAGGAAATACTGTTTGCTAATCTGGCTGGACTGAATTTCATGGCTTGAAAGCGCACCTGCAAAGTCTTTGGTGTGGATCAGAAAGCATAATGGCCCTGGGGACTTCAATAGAGGCAGGTGCATAGGAACATTAGTTCGAAACGACGTTTCCTTGAAATAATCTAGCCTTGATGAAAACCGCAATCCGAAGAAGCATTTAGATTTAAAAAGGTTAAAGTCTGTGGATTGATGAGATCCATGAGATTTCATCGAATGCTTTTGATAGAACAAAAAACTTGGGTCAAGTGAGTTCATTGAGTTAAGTTTGTTCTCTACTATTTATGAATAAAAACATATCTATCGCTGAAGAATGATGTGTAAAAATGTCTGTGGCACCAGGAACATCACACTGTCGGAAGCGATATGATTTGCCCTGTATGCCAGTGAGGTCAATAGATCTATATACAACGGCCAATAAGCGGTCATCGAATGTGTAAATTGGCAAAAAATTTGCTTTTTTCATGCAATATTAAGGTTTTCTTCCTCCAGTGACTGAACAGCGTTCAATAGAAGATAGACACTGGATAGATGTCATCCGACCTCAACGCGCTGGAATGGTTTGTTTATCGTAAGGTTTCACAAACATCCTCCTCGATGAAGATATTTTTGGCCAACGGCCGTTCGTATTTTTGCCTTGTTAAGACTTGGAGTGATAAGGAAGCTAAAATAAAACATCAGCGTCCATATTGTTTTTGTTGGCTTCAGATGCGACTGTTGGATTACTCGTGCGTTATGCTTTTCTGTAAGAAGGCCGTCGGTTTGGCATAGAGGCAATATTTGGCAGCCCAGATAACGCAGATTGTCGTTGATTCGATCAATAGTCTTCTTAGTGCAACAAACAAACCAACGGCAGTTGCCTTGTTTGACCAGCAATGCTTCATGAACCTGAACGGAGCAATTTGGCTCTTCGGATAAACCACAGCATTGTAATTTGCTTTCATAATCTCATCTCCGATTTACAGCAGTTTGGCATCTTGCAAAACGACATATCGACCTGTGACTCTCTTGTGGTCGCCTTTATTAAGAACTGTTTCTCATTTCTGGGGGACATCAAATCCTCTTTGGTAACTGTTCTTCAATCTACTGCGCGCCAATTCCCCGAAACGAACGCTGCATCAGGCTTTCGAATTTTCTGTACCAAAGTTCTGTTTGCTTCCTCAGATGAGGCCGGTCCCAGTTTAAGCTGGTTATGAACAAGAGACACTTGTGAGTAGTCATCGAGGCAGAAGATCTACATTTATATTTTAGTTCCAGAGTTCTTATGTCAGCAGCCAATCAAATCAGATACAAGCACATAGAGATGGCCATGCCTCAATTAAACTTTAGCTACCATTCAAACCATTAAACTGGATATATTGGTGATACCTAGAGACAGTAGGGGTGCTAGTTGGCCTTCATGGCATCTGGTTCACGCGTCGACATGCTGAGTCCAACTTCTCTGACGCGCGACTTGAATCAGCACCGACGCAGCGTCTACCATAGCCGGCGTGCTGTAACCCAATTAAAAAGTCCTTGTAGGTACTGAGTTGCCTGTCAGCAGTGCCTGTCTTAAGCGTTAGCTGAGGTTCGTAGAAAAAACTACTTGACTTCCTGCGGACTTGAGGGCAACGGCAAACGGTACCGGGAAGTCAGTTGGTTCCATACAGTGCACAAGAAAGAAGTGTAGGAATGGTATTGTGGGCAAAAGAGAGTGGGCAGGATCATGTCTAAATATAGCGCACTCCACTCGTCCTCCCGTGGTTCGAGTCAGCTGGAGAAATGTAGTAGCCATTCACCGATTTACCAGCAGCATAGAAGACGGTGTGAGATGCTGGACAGTATTTAAAGACAAGTCAAGTATTGTACATCAGAAAACTTGTTGAAAGGGGGGGCATTTTTTCGGCATGCTCTTCATTATTCCTGTTCAATCCAGCGTTGGGAGACAGAGAGGTGTTAATCAACTCCCAGGTAAAAAGAAATGACAGTTCCACGACAACTTAGATTCGAAGGCTTGCAAGGTGCTTCTACCATGCACTCGTATGTCTCCTGCTTTGGTGTTGCAATAGCCTCCCATTCATGTGTGGCGTGGTTATAGACCCTTCGAGGGCCGGTTCTCACCAAACGTTTGTTTCACTAGTTATGCAGGATTTCTTTCCGTGGACAAAACGTTCGTCATTTGGCTACTTTACTGCGTAAAATATCGCAAGTTTGGCCATTAGGTTTGCATTCACCCACAGGTATATAGTAAGGACGCTTGTTTTGCTTACTCTCAAGCCTGTGCGCGGTTCGGCTTTCAACATAGCACCGTCAGACCGTGTCTGATCGCTCAGACATGCGTTTAACAACAAGAGTGTGGCTCTCTCGTTGATACGCTTAGGAGGCATGTTGTCCTAAATCATCGACCGGGCGACGTTTGTGTGTTTTACATGACCCCCGTTGGTTCTCATTTATGATCACTTAAAACATGGTTGTGCCTTGAGAATATCCACAATTGTTGCTGATTTAAAGTTGGCAGCATTTCCTTTACCAACATCAGTATAGCTTATATCTACCTGCATACAGCGCACAGTCGAAGACTCCCTCCCCAATACTAGCACCTTCTGGTGCTTACAGATAGGTAAGCCCAGGATGCAGTAAGTTCCACGGACACTGAGTAAAAGTAG